AAAGCTTGTGTTTCCTTATTTATTTTCATTTTGGATGATCTGTCCATTGGTGAAAGTGGGGTGTTAAAGTCCCATACTATGATTGTGTTACTTTTGATTTCCCCTTTTATGGCTGTTAGTATTTGCCTTATGTATTGAGGTGCTCCTGTGTTGGGTGCATAAATATTTACAATGTCTTCTTCTTGGATCGATCCCTTGATCATTATGTAGTGTCCTTCTTTGTCGCTTGTAATAGTCTTTTTTTTTATGTCTATTTTGTCTGATAAGAGAATTTCTACTCCAGCTTTCTTTTGATTTGCATTTGCATGGAATATCTTTTTCTGTCCCCTCACTTTCACTCTGTATGTTTCCCTACGTCTGAAGTGAGTCTCTTGTACACAGCATATATACTGGTCTTGTTTTTGTATACATTCAGCCAGTGTGTGTCTTTTGGTTGGAACATTTAAACCATTTACATTTAAGGTTATTATCGATATGTAAGTTCCTGTTCCCATTTTCTTAATTGTTTTGGGTTTGTTATTGTAGGTCTTTTCCTTCTCTTGTGCTTCCTGCTTAGAGAAGTTCCTTTAGCATTTGTTGTAAAGCTGGTTTGGTGGTGCTGAATTCTCTTAGCTTTTGCCTCTCTGTAAAGCTTTTAATTTCTCCCTCAAATCTGAATCAGATCCTTGCTGGGTAGAGTAATCTTGGTTGTAGGTTTTTCTCCTTCATCACTTTCAATATATCCTGCTATTCCCTTCTGGCTTGCAGAGTTTCTCCTGAAAGATCAGCTGTTAACCTTATGGGGGTTCCCTTGTGTGTTATTTGTTGTTTTTCCCTTGCTGCTTTTAATAGTTTTTCTTTGTATTTAATTTTTGATACTTTGATTAATATGTCTTGGCATGTTTCTCTTTGGATTTATCCTGTATGGGACTCTCCGTGCTTCCTTGACTTGATTAACTGTTTCATTTGCCATATTAGGGAAATTTTGAACTATAATCTCTTCAGATATTTTCTCAGACCCTTTCTTTTTCTGTTCTTCTTCTGGGACCCTATAATTCGAATGTTGGTGCATTTAATGTTGTTCAAGAGGTCTCTGAGACTGCCCTCAATTCTTTTCATTCGTTTTTCTTTATTTTGCTCTGCAGTTGTTATTTCCACTATTTTATCTTCCAGGTCACTTATCCGTTCTTCTGCGTCAGTTATTCTGCTGTTGATCCCTTCAAGAGAATTTTTAATTTCTTTTATTGTGTTGTTCATCAGTGTTTGTTTGCTCTTTAGTTCTTCTAGGTCCTTGTTAAATGTTTCTTGTATTTATTCTATTTCCAAGATTTTGGATCATCTTTACTATCATTATTCTGAATTCTTTTTCAGGTAGACTGCCTGTTTCCTCCTCATTTGTTATGTCTGGTGGGTTTTTGCCTTGCTCCTTCATCTGCTGTGTGTTTTTCTGTCTTCTTAATTTGCTTAACTTACTGTATTTGTGGTCTCCTTTTCGCAGGCTGCAGGTTCGTATTTCCCGTTGCTTTTGGTGTCTGTCCCCAGTGGCTAAGGTTGGTTCAGTGGATTGTATAGGCTTCCTGGTGGAGGGGACTAGTGCCTGTGTTCTGGTGGATGAGGCTAGATCTTGTCTTTCTGGTGGGCAGGTCCACGTCTGGTGGTGTGTTTTGAGGTGTCTGTGGCCTTATTATGATTTTAGGCAGCCTCTCTGCTAATGGGTGGGGTTGTGGTCCTGTCTTGCTAGTTGTTTGGCATAGGGTGTCCAGCACTGTAGCTTGCTGGTCGTTGAGTGAAGCTGGGTCTTGGCGTTGAGATGGAGATCTCTGGGAGATTTTCGCTGTTTGATATTTACATGGGGCTCGGAGGTCTCTTGTGGACCAGTGTCCTGAACTTGGCTCTCCCACCTCAGAGGCACAGCCCTGTCGCCTGGCAGGAGCACAAAGAGCCTTTCATCCACACGGCTCAGAATAAAAGGGAGAAAAAATAGAAAGAAAGAAAGAAGATAAAATAAAATAAAGTTATTAAAATAAAAACTAATTATTAAGAAAAAAATTTTTAAAGAAAAAACGGACAGAGAGAACCCTAGGACAAATGGTAAAAGTAAAGCTGTAAAGACAAAATTACACACAGAAGCATACACATATACACTCACAAAAAGAGAAAAAGCAAAAAAATATATATATATCTTTGCTTCCAAAGTCCACCTCCTCAATTTGGGATGATTCATTGTCTATTCAGGTATTCCACAGATGCAGTGTACATCAAGTTGATTGTGGAGAGTTAATCCGCTGCTCCTGAGGCGGCTGGGAGAAATTTCCCTTTCTCTTCTTTGTTCGCACAGCTCCCAGTGTTCAGCTTTGGATTTGGACCCGCCTCTCTGCATGTAGGTCGCCTGAGATCCTCTGTTCTTTGCTCAGACAGGTTGGGGTTTAAGGAGCAGCTGATTCGGGGTCTCTGGCTCACTCAGGACGGGGTGAGGGAGGGGTACGGTTGCGGGGCTACCCGGCGGCGGCACAGGCCGGCATGACGTTGCAATAGCCTGAGGCGCGCCGTGTGTTCTCCTGGGGAAGTTTCCCTGGATCACGGGACCCTGGCAGTGGCGGGCTGCACAGGCTTCCGGGAGGGTAGGTGTGGATAGTGACCTGTGCTTGCACACAGGCTTCTTGGTGGCTGCAGCAACCTTAACGTCTACATGCCTGTCTCTGGGGTCCACACTGATAGCCGCGGCTCGCGCCCGTCTCTGGAGCTCCTTTAAGCGGCGCTCTTAATCCCCTCTCCTCGCTAACCAGCAAACAGAGAGGCAAGAAAAAGTCTCTTGCCTCTTCGGCACCTCCACACTTTTTCCCGGACTCCCTCCCGGCTAGCTGTAGGGCACTAACCCCTTCAGGCTGTGTTTACGCATCCAACCCCAGTCCTCTCTCTGGGATCCGAGCCTCAGCTCCCAGCCCCCGCCCACCCCGGCGGGTGAGCAGAGAAGCCTCTCAGGCTGGTGAGTGCTGGTCAGCACCGATCCTCTGTGCGGGAATCTCTCCACTTTGCCCTCCACACCCCTGTTTCTGCGCTCTCGTCCGTGGCTCTGTAGCTCCCCCCCTCCGCCACCCACAGTCTCCACCCGCGAAGGGGCTTCCTAGTGTGTGGAAACCTTTCCTCCTTAACAGCTCCCTCCCACTGGTGCAGGTCCCGTGCCTATTCTTTTCTCTGTTTTTTCTTTTGCGCTACTCAGGTACGTGGGGAGTTTCTTGCCTTTTGGGAGGTCTGAGGTCTTCTGCCACCGTTCAGTAGGTGTTCTGTAGGAGCTGTTCCACATGTAGATGTATTTCTGATGTATTTGTGGAGACGAAGGTGATCTCTGTGTCTTACTCTTCTGCCATCTTGAAGCTCCTCTAAACGGATGAGGTTTTTGTTCAGCTTTGTTGAGGTGTAGTTTACCCTGATAAGTTTGATAATCAGAATAGCTTTTGCACTTTTCATGGGCTTTAAGGAAATTCAGTGAATTTCCTTATGAATATAGATAATAACATTCTATCATTCATAGAACTCTTAATTTTTATATGCATCTAGATGATTTAGCTTCTTTATAAGAGCATACATTTCTTTAAGAACAGAGATAACTGCCTAGTCTTTCTCTTGGAAAGCCCCACAGTGCTTAGTATGGCCCTGTATATGACATGTACACTAATTTTGAGACACAGAGCTTAGTTTGTTCAATGAGGAAGTGTAAACTATTACAAAAATGTTTGCTGATAGGATTTGCAAAAATGCCTTGACCATTTCTCAATTCTATATCAGGATGCAACAGCAGAATGAAACTCAGTGGAAGACCCTACAGACACATGGGAGTCCTTGGAACTTCAAAACTCTATGACATTCGGAAAACTGTCTTTACCTTCACTCCACAGGTGGGTGGACTGAGCTTTAATGTGCATTGAGGTGAATGGAAATAAAAGAGAAACACTATAGAAATAAAGCATTTAGTGGAGTTGAGACAAGTGTCAGAGTTTCATGTGACCTTGTATATATTAAGTTGCTCAATAAATAGGGTTGGCCAAAAAGTTCGTTTTGGTTTTTTCCATAAGATGTTATGGAAAAACGTGAACGAACTTTTTGGCCAACCCAATCTTTGTTGGGTTGGACTGAATTGATCTTGAAGCACAGAGCTATGCCAAGTGACTGTGACTACCAAGAGTAGTCCTGGGTGTTGCAGAAACAGTGATTAAGGATTTTATAAATGTTGGAATACTTTTAAAAGTACTCTTTATTAAAGATTAAAAATAATACTGTATTCTTTATAAACAAAATATAGTCTTTTTTATTCAGGTACTGAATTAAGTTTTCTATTTGTTTTGGGGAAGTGCCCTCTTTACATGCCCAGAAATCTCTGATATCCTCTTCTAAACAAAAATGTCAGTGCTGTTTTAGCCATGATTATACACTGTTTATTAGCCTGATGTTTATTACCCATATTATAATAGCAAGCCTTATTATATGTATGAATAGGAGGATAAACTATTTTCTGAAAAGAAAGCTTAAGCTTTCTTTTGTCATCTTACATCTGAAATAGTGCCACTGAGTTATAGATGAAAGAATAATGGACCATAGATTCTATCTCTGATTTTGCCGTTTGCTAGTCGTATAACTTTGCTAATCTACTCAGTGTCTCTTGGCCTTATTTTTTATCTATTAAAAAGGAGAAAAGCCCTCACTGGGTTGTTAGAATTAAATAAAATCATGTACTTGAAAACACTTTGTAAACTATAACACACTAAAAATGTCCAGAACTATTGTTTGTACCAGTAAGCCACGAGATACTTTGGGAAGAATTAGGCATTAAATTTGGAGGTATTGTTGCCCCTGTGATATCTTATATACGCTTGTGTATATGTGAGCACTTTGAAATATTGTTTGATAGTTGTGAGAGTAAATTATTCTGAACTGTTATTTTCCTTTTTCTCAGTTTATAGACCAGCAACAATTCTACCTGGCTCTGGACAACAAGATGATAGTAGAAATGCTTAGAACAGACCTCTCCTATCTCTGTAGCCGCTGGAGAATGACAGGCCAGCCCACCATCACCTTCCCCATCTCACACAGCATGCTTGGTAAGGATGTATGAGGCAAGGAACTAATGTATTTTTGAAATAAGTCATGTGGTTGGCCCTTCAAAATCATAGAGTCACTGGAAAGCTACTTTTTGTCATTTATTCTTTCAGCAGTTTTTTTAAGCTCTTGTTTTGTGCCAGGCACTTTTCAAAGCACTGGGTGAATATGGCAGATGAGGTTTCTATTCTCACGGAGCTTATGTTTTAGAATAAATATGTAACAAATAAACCAATACACAAGAATATTTCAAGGGGTTTGAGAGCTATAATTCAAGAGATGTAATAGAATAACTTGTTTGGGGCTACTTCAGATAATTGGTTTCTAGGCCAATTTACAGAAACTTTATTAATACGATTCATTTTAAAGACAGTAATACTATATTCTGCATCTGTCTTACTCCAGTGGAGCATCAAGATTTTATAGATAAGTTCCTAAACTTCTCTTTGCAAGGCTTGCCTAACTGAAGCAATAAAATCTAGCAGGGAAAAGTAAAAAGCCTTTCAGTTTATCTTTCCTTTATTAGCTGGGCTTCCTGACATTGCTTACTTGAAACTGAGTGAAAAGCTTTGTTGTTCTCTCAGTTCCTGGAGGACTAGAGCCAATACTGAAGCACTGCTTCCTTTCTGTATCTCTGCTGTTGCTTCCAAAGGCCTGTTTGTACTACCAAAGTACATAGAATTCCTTTTCATTAGAGAAGAATCCTTTGTCATAAATCATTCAAAGTCCCGACAGACTGTTAGGGATTTTGGTCACATCTCTAAAGTGCTTCAAAAGCACAGGAGTCCAGTGTACTTGTGTACCCATGAATAGTTGAAAGGTTCATTTCTACCTCGACATGTCTTTTCTGTCTGAGAAATACACACATTTTATCCAGTTTGATATAAATAAAACACTCAAAAAAGGAAAAAAAAAAAAAGCACAGGAGTTGAGGAAGTAGGGTAGTCTTTCTTCTTTTTGTCTTTCTTCTTTATTTGAAACAATTAACAAGTGCCCATTTAATAACTACTATGTTCCCAGAACTGTCTTTAGAAAGTATAAAGTCTAATTGGAGAAACAAAGCTAATTCACAAAATTAATAGAAAACAATTCAAGACAGTATATAAAGAAGTACTAAACCATTAGATTAGTATTTTACAGTGACAGTGATCAAGTTGTCAAAGAAAATTTCTTGACTAGGTGGGACTTATCCAGGCTTTTTGGGATGTGTAGTATTCATATATGAGGAGAGAAGAAGGAAAGGTACTTTAGGTGAGGGAAAAAATACCATGGGTGAAGCCTGGAGGCAGGGATGCCCTTGACTTGTGAGTGGACAGTGAAGAGGCCACGCTGAATAGAGTGGGCCTTTCATGTTGGAGTATAATTATCAACAAAATTGGATTAGTCAAATGGGGTCAGATTATGAAGACCTTGAAAATAAGCAGATAAATTTAAAACAAATTGTCTCAGAAGTCTGAAGCTATTAAAAGTTTTTGAGCAAGGAGTGATATGATGAAAGTGATATTTAAGGAATATTGACTTAGTGACAGTATACACTGTAGTTAGAAGAATCTGATATCAAGGAAACTAATCCAAGTATGAGGTGATGAGAAGATACACTGGATTGATGATAGTAAAAATTGAGTGGGAAAGAAGGATACAAGAGTCATTTTAAACACCACCTGCAAGTCAGGTGTTGGCCGACTAGATATGAGATATGAATCAAGATAATGCCAACATTTAGAGAGACTAGGTAAATAATGCTGCCATTGATAAAAGCAGAGAAATTATAAAGGAAGATGCCAGTTGTAAAGGGACATGTTGAGTTTATAGTGACAAAGAGGTTTCAAAATTGAAATGCCTAATAGTTGGGATGAGATATACAGCCATAGCTTGGGAGGAAGAATAAAATTAAGATCTAGATTTAAGTCACAAAGTTTTGATACTTGGTACATGGTCACACAACAAAAAAACAGAAGTATCAATAGCAATAATAACTGCAATGTTTATTGAGCACTTTCTCTGTGCCATGCACTGAGCTAAGTCCTTTCAGTGCTTTATTTTGACATCTCCACAACAACCCTATTCAGGTAGGTACTGTTAATAGCCCCCATTTTATAGATGAAGAAGGTGATTCATTTTGTAGTCACAAAGCTAGTAAGCAACAGAATCAGGCCTCAAACCAGGTCTGTCAGTCTCCAAAACCTACATTACTAATAGCTGTGTATTTTTGTCAGGGAAAATTTTGTGCTGGTGAAATGAGAATGAACATATTAGTGATCACATTAAAATGTGAATTAGTTAAATTCTCATATTAAATATAGATTCCTAGGATAGGTAAAAGCAAAATCTAGCTAGATGCTACTTACAAAAGCTATCCCTAAAATAAAATTGTGTGGAAAAACAGAAAATAAAGGAAGACATAAAGATATATCATGTAAACGCTAACAAAAAGAAAGCAATGATGGCAATATTAATATCAAAAATAGCAAATAGAATTCAAGGCACAAATCAGTAAATGGGATATAAAGGATATTTTATATTGATAAGAGTTATAGTATATGAAGACTGTGGAACATTTATAAATTTTTATCTACTGAAGAATATCAGTGAAATGCATAAAGCAGATATTTAGGAAAACTTAAGGACATTATGATAAATCCATTGTACAGTCATAGTGGGAAACGATAACATACCTCTATCATAATGTCACAGATCCATTATACAAAATCACTAAAGATATAGAGGATTAACAGACTTGATTTTTGTGTTTACAGGTGTATGTGAAAGTATACCCAGAAAGACAGAATACACAAAGAATGTTTATTTTTTAAAAGTAGAAATAATATAGATGATATTGCCAGACATAGCACATAAAATTAATTAAAACAAAAATAATTTCTTAAAAACCTGACCATGAAGGAATTAAAATTTTTGCAAATAGTTCTTTGATTAAAGAGGAAATCAAATTTGAAATTATATAGTGTTTTAAAATGAAAAATGATACCACTACTAATCAAAACTTAAGAGATTTGGCCAAAGTCATATTTAGAAATTTTCATATTCTTGAATATTTTCACTTTTGAAAAAAAAAAGAGTTCTGTTTCCAGACAAAAAGGAATAGACTCACTTCTCCCTATTCTTCCTGCGAAGTACAGCTAAAAACCCTGGACATTACTATAATACAAACATAAGAAGACTCTGAAAGTTGGAAAAAAGAAGGGAGACTGGCTAGGGACTTTGAACCTAAGAAATGACACAGCAGTGAATTTCCTGGGTTTTCCTTCTGCCTCATATATCCTGGACTGGGTGCTGGAGAAGTTATCATCCCAGAAACACAAATGGGTACAAATTTTAAAAGGTCCAGGAAAGACCTTCTCCCTCTAGCCAAAGGAACAGGAAAGGGATAGCCTAGCCAGACGGAAAACTTCTAGACAATAAATGTGTTCTAATCTACCCAAATACCACAGAAAAAAACTACAGCCCCATTCCCATCCCTATCAGTGAGGCTGTGTGGGGAACCTAGACTACTGCCTTCACACAGTTGTGAAGAGGTGCCCCCTCCCTCCTTAGGGATAGTGTCTGAGAAGAACTAGTGGGGAGCTTAGACTTTCATCCTTACTGAACAGTAGAGGAACTCCTTCCACACCCACCTAGCAGTAACAAGGCAGCGCTCCCTTCCCTGCTGCACAATATCAGAGGAGACTTGCTGAATCAGAAGATTCAATAAGATCCACAGTCTTGTAAGATGATACCCCAAATTTCCAGAATACAATAGAAAATCATTCATACCAATGCCCAAGAAAATCTCAACTTCAATGAGAAAAGATGATCAACAGATACCAACACCAGGATGACAAATATGTTGGAATTACAACAAAGATTTTAAGGCAGTCATCATAAAAATACTTTACCAAGCAATTACAACCACACTTCAAACTTGAAAGTAGGAAGTCTCGGCAAAGAAATTGAAGAGATGGAGAACCAAATGAAAGTTTTAGAATTGAAAACTATAATAACTGAAATGAAAACTTTCTAGATAGGCTCAGTAGCAGAAGAAAATAGACTGAACTTGAAGGTAGAACTATAGAAGTGAACAAGAGTAAAAACAGACTGAAAAATATGAACAGAGCCTCAGAGACCTATGGGACTAATAATGAAACATCTAGCATTCATGTTATGAGTCCCAGAAGGAGAGGAAAAAGAATATAGGGCTGAAAAAAGTATTCCAACTAATTATGGCTGAAAAAAATGGCAAAAGGCATAAACCTACGGATTCAAAAAGCTGAGAGAGTCCCAAACTGGAAAAACCCAAAGAAATCCATGCCAAAACATAATGATCAAATTCCTGAAAATTAAAGAAAAAGAAAAAATCCTGAAAGTGGTAAGAGAAATGATACATTGCCTATGTGGGAAAACAACTAGAATGACAGCAGATCTCATCAAAAACCCTGGAGAACAGAGGGAAGTGGCATAACATTTTTCAAGTGTTTAAAGAAAAGAATTAATAAACTAAGAACTCTGTATCCAGTTAAAATGTACTTGAAGAATAAAGGGAAAAAAGACATTCTCAGGTGAAGCAAAACTAAATGAATTTGTCTGAAGGAGATCTGCTCTAAAAGAATAGCTTAAAGGAAGTTCTTGAAATAAAGAGGAAATAATGCAAAATGGAATGTTGGAACATCAAGCAAGAAAAACAACAGTTGAAAGAGTAAGAATACAGGTAAATACAATAGACTTTCTCCACTTCAGTTTTCTAAATTATGTTTGACGTTTGAAGCGAAAATCATAACGCTGTCTGATGTGGTTCTCAAAGTATGTAGAGGAGATCTTTAATGCAGTTATATATTGGGGGAGGTAAGGGACTGAAAAGGAAATAAGTTTTTTTTCAAGCATAAACATTGTAAAGCAATTATACTGCAATAAAGATGTAAAAAAAAAGGAAATAAGGTTTTTACACATCACTTTAAACTTGTGAAATATTGACACTAATAGACAATGATATATGTATAATGCATGTTTGTATATATTATGTAATACCTAGGGTAACCACTAAGAAGTCTATACAAGGAGATAAAGTAAAAAACACTATAGATAAATCAAAATGGAATTCTTGTGTTTCAGAAAACAGGAAGAAAAAATAGAAGAACAGAGGAACAAACAAAAAAAAATAAGTAAAATGGCAGACTCATTCCTAATATATCAATAATTACATTAACTGTAAATAGCCTAAATATACCAATTAAAAGACTGAGATTGGCAGAGTAGATTTAAAAATGACCCACATATATGCTGTCTCCATGAGATTCACTTCATATGTAACAATATAGGTAGACTAGAATAAAATAATGGAAAAAATATGCCATGTAAAATTAATTTTAAAAATCAGAAGTGGCCATGTTAATATCTGGTAAAATAGACTTCAGAATAAAGAGAAAAAATATAGATAATAAAAATAATGTTAAGAATGAGGAAGGGGATATAGCAACAGAAATGGAGGAGTCTTTACAAATTATAAAAGAATACCAAATACAATTTTATAAATCTAGATAAAATTGACAAATGTCTAGAAAAGTAAATAATATAAGAATAAGCTTAAGAAATAAAGACACATATAGAGAACAAATTATGGATACCAAGGGGGTGGGATGAATTGGGAGATTGAGATTGAAATATATACACTACTATGTATAAAATAGGTAACTAATGAGAACCTACTGTATAGCACAGGGAAACTACTCAGTGCTCTGTGGTGACCTAAATGGGAAGGAAATCTGACAAAGAGAGGGTATATGTATACATATAACTGATTCATTTTGCTGTACAGCAGAAATTAACACAACATTGCAAAGCAACTGTACTCCAATAAAAATTAATTTAAAAAAAGAATAAGCTTAATAAGAAATATGCATAAAACTATGTAAAAAATTATAAAGCTAATAAAAAACATAAAAGAAGATTTTAATTACTAGAGAGACATACCATGTTGCTAGATGGAAATCGTTAATATTGAGAAGATGTTTATTCTTATTAAATTAATCTATCAATTCAGTGAATTCCAAATCAAAATAAAGACAAATTTTTATGAACAAGCTGAATCTAAATTGCATATGGAAGAGAAAATGTACAAGAATAACCAGATTTTTTAAAAACTAGAAACAAGAGAAGATAGATCCATTGGAATTACAATAATGATAAAGACAGCAATCCAAATAGCAGCAAAAGAATATAAATAAATACATTTGGGAAAATCGTTCATTTAGGCCTGCTACTTTACATTTTATGCAAAATTAAATTCTAAATAGATTAAACAGCTAAGCAACAAGAAAAACTATAAAAGTATTAGAAGAAAGTATGGAAGGATGTTTTTGTGATCTTGGGCTGAAGAAAGCTGTACTTTGCAAGATGCAGAAAGGAAAACTTGACAGATTTTAAAACATGAAAATCTAAATTAATCTTTGTTTCTAAATAAATATTTTATACAAAAATGAAGTGTGGTTGAGGCTGAAAGACAAATAATAAAGTAGATAAAATATTTGCCATACATATGATAGAGAAAAGGGTAATAGTCACAAAACATAAAGAGGCCTTGAAAGTCAATTGAAAAAAAAAGATTATTTTTTAAAAACATGGGGAAAGAGCTTTCCAACCCAAGCCTGGCAGAATGGCTCCTGCAAAGAAGGGTGGCGAGAAGAAGGGCCAGTCCGCCATCAACAAGGTGGTGACCAGAGAATACACTATCATCATTCACCAGCGCATCCATGGAGTGGGTTTCAAGAAGCATGCCCCTTGGGCAGTCAAAGAAATCTGGAAATTTGCCATGAAGGAGGTGGGAACTCCAGATGTACACATTGACACTGAGCTCAACAAAGCTGTCTGGGCCAAAGGAATAAGGAATATCCCATACTGTGTCCATGTGCGGTTGTCCAGAAAACATAATGAAGATGAAGATTCACCAAACAAGCTCTATACATTGGTTTCCTATGTACCTGTCACCACTTTCAAAAATCTACAGACAGTTAATCAACTAACGGTTGATTGTCAAAGTTTTCGAACCACCAAAAAAAAAAAAATGGGAAAAGAACATGAACAGGCAATTCATAAAAGAAATACAAATAGCCAGTCTATACATGAAAACGTGCTCAATCTTACTAGTATTAAAATTAAAACAATGTATTTTTTAACGTATCAGATAAACAAAGATTAAAAAGATTATTAACACCATTGTTGTTAAAGATGTGGGGAAACAATCACTTTCTATACTGATGGTAGACATAGTGGCACAACTTTTTTAGTGTGCAGTTTGGCAGTCTATAAAGTTTTTAGTAAGTGTTCCCTTTGTTCTAACAGTTCTACGTGTAAGAATTTATCCTAAGGAAATAATAGAAAAATTGCATCACAGTGTTGCTTATAATACAACAGTCTAAATATCTGTTATGGAATCATTTTTAGCTTTTGCAAAGAATTAGTTAGAAAAAGTGGATCACAAAAGAGTATGTGTAGTATGATCCCCTTCACATAAAGTTGGATAATTGTTAGCCTTCTAAATATTTTTTATGCCTACACACATGTAAACCAAAGCTCATTGGATGAGATAATGTATAAAATGTTCAGCACAGTACTCGGCACATAACATTCAACATATGGTTGCTGTTGTTATTATTGTCAGCATTCAGTAATCATTCTGTGTTCTGCAATCAGGCAATGTGCTAAATACTTACAATAAATAAGATACTGTCTGTGAGGAACTCTCCTCTCTTGGTCATCATCCCTTACCGTTTCCCATTCTGCACAGCGTCATTGGCTCTCAGATGAAGTGTTGAAATACAGGGTGGTCAACGAGGACTATCTCATTTGTACCATCACCACCAGAAAGTTGGTTTAAAATAATTGAAAGATTCCCCTTATTTCAAAGTTAAAACCACAAAGATTGTTTTAAAATTCTCTTCATTTTAAGATGAAGATGGAACCAGCTTGAATTCAAGTATCCTGGCAGCACTCCGAAAAATGCAGGATGGCTATTTTGGTGGGGCAAGGTAAGTGACCTCTATGCACTCAGTAGTGAAATGTGAAATTTGGATGCTGGGTACAGTAATGGTAGACTTGTGATGCCTTTCTCTGTATCTTTAGCAACATATACCTATCCTATTCCAGGAGCTGGTGTTTGATAGATTGAATCAAGGAATTTAATGTTAAAGAGAAGGGTTGGAATTTTTCCCCACCCTGTTCTTTGCCTACACTCCATAAATTCAGTGGATCAGGAAACTTACCCTGGAAGGAAGGAAGAATGGAAGGGAGGGAGGGAAGGAGGGAGGAAAAGGAGGTTACTGGACTATTCATTTCTCACTGCTTTTCTTTTTTCCCTAAGTTTTTATTTTGAAAAATTTCAAGTAGACACAAATATGCAGGAATCTTATTGAATACCATATACCCTCCCTCAAGACTCACCTGTTGTTAACATCTGTCCCACTTGTGTGTTCTCTCTCCCCCATTCCCTCCCTTCCTTCCTCTCCTCCCTCCCTTCCTCTCTTGTTCCCTACCCTTCTCCCTCTCTCACACATACATATGTGCGCATGCACACACACGCACACACACACACACACACACACAGGCACACACACTTTTTTCGCTAAAGTGTGTGAGAGTTAGTCAGAGATATCATGACTCTTTAACCCTAAATACTTCAGTTTCTGTCTTCTAAGAAAGAGGACATTCTCATACATGACTACAATATAATCAGCACACTCAGAAAAGTTAATATTGATACGATACTATTATCTAATATGGAGTCCATATTCAAAATTACCCAGTTGTCTCAATAATGTTTTCCCATAGCTTTTTTCCCACTCCAACTCCAATGAAAGATCACTCGTTGGCTTTTAGTTATTATATCTCCTTGATGTCTTTTAATCTAGAGCAATTCCCCAGCCGTTTGTTAATATTTCATTACAATTTTCATTACATTTTTAAAGAAAGAAGGTCAGTTATTTTGCAGAATGTCTCTCAGTTAGTTTAAAATGTTATCTTCTGAGTCACTTTCCCCTGTCTGAGTTTACTCATTGGTGACCTCACAATGGACGTGTCTATTGCTTGCCAGCCCTTCCATGGGGAGAGCACTTCTCTCCATATTCTTCATAATCCTCCATTCGTGTCTAGATTCCATTATGCTTTCCGCAACAATCTTTGACCAAATGGCTTTATCTTCCATTGATCAATCAGTTATTACTAATGGGGTTGTAAAATCGTGATTCTGTGTTTCTATCATTCTTTGTACATGTATTAGTTGGAATCCTTCTGTTAAAAAAAAAAAGCTCTCCCTTACCCCCTTTAATTTTGTAGTCTTATTGCCAGCATAGAGTCATAAATTCTTATTTTATTTTTATGTCATGCTTCATTCCATTGTCTATTTCAGTGTACATATTATTCAAGATCTGGCCATTGGGAGCCCCCTCAAGCTGACTTCTTTAGAAAATCAGTACTATTGACTTTCCCTTTGGGTTTGGTTTTGCAATTGGCTTTATAAGTAGGGGAAGATATGGCTTACAATCTACTATAATTCTTAAAATTGTCAGATACCATTTTTTTCTTTTCAAAATGGTCTTTTTGAGTATTTTTTGAAATGATATGACAGATTTGTGGTGATTTATCTTCATTCTGTCCTAGCTTCTCTTGCAGCCAATGGAAGTTTTTGCCAGATATTTGGCATAGTTAGCAATGTAGTATGTGGCAGTGAAAGCGAGCAAAACTGATCTGCTGGTGGATTGTGAACCCATAATTGTAGTCTTTATTAACATAGTACCCTAACCTATACTACACTATGTCTAGGAGTGCTGTAAATTTTCACTTTTACAAAATTTGTACTAATGTATAAACGTTAGTAATCCCCCAACAGAACATTCTAGGTATCCTTTTTATCACTAAACTGTGTTGTTTTGAAAATGATTTCCTCTGATTTTCTGTTTTCTGTTTACCCTCTTAATTGTCAGGATTCAAACAGGTAAACTGTCAGAGTTTTTGACAACATCTTGCTGCACACATTTGAGCTTTATGGAACCTGGACCTGAGGGTAAATTGTACAGTGAAGATTATGATGACTATGATAATGAGCTGGAATCTGGTGACTGGATGAATGGCTATGGTTCAACCAGTAATGGTAAGAAGGCTTCATAAATGCACTGGCCTTACTGGACAAGAATACAAAGTATTGTTGAGCATCCTCCTTAATATTTCTCCTGCCAGCAGTCTCACTCCTATTTAATACACCTAATACACCTTTTGTTTGGCTTTACTTTTCATTCTTCTACTTACCTTTGGTTTTTGGTCTAACATCCCTGTGGTGATTGTGGAGTATAGAGTTGGACTATCCCTTACTAAGGTTAGGGGAATTTCTCTCCCAGGTACATAAAATGACTGGTACTTTAAAAATGGGAGGAAGCAATGGTGAGTGAGAGATATTTAATCAAGTATGTAGTAGGAACACTAGACATATACGTACTGCTTTTTGACATTAAAAAGCATAAAAAGTATAAAATTCCGTCAGCGTTCTTTTATATAGAATATTATATAATCTATAATTTTATATTCTAATATATTCTATATATTCTAATTTTATATAGTTCTTTTATATAGAATATTATAGGGGTACATCAGAATCTCTGGGGAGGTCTGCGTAGTTTGAAAAAGCCGATTTGGTACGCCTATTGCTTTCATATTACAACTAGACAAATAACGCAGAACAAAATCTAATTGGCTTCTATGAATACAAAGATGATATAGTGAGAAAGCATCATGGGGGCCTGACAAACACCCTAAAGTGTTAAAATGCTGACCTAGGCAGGGCAAGCATTACATTATTTGAATCCCACAGAGAGAAGGGCCAGTGGGAGTGAATTATTGTTCTAGTTATGTAAAACATGGTTTGCCTGCTTTCACTGTCTGGTTTTCTGATTGTTAAGCCTATATCTTAAGGCAGCCAATTTCTTTATCTTAAGAGTGCTGTGTTGGAGAGAAGAAATATAAATAAATTGGCTTTCCTCAGTGAGCTAGCAAGCATAATCTCATATACAATAAACCAAAACACTAGCAGTCAGAAGGACTATTTTCTCATTTGGGCTCAGCATTTACTTACCTAAATACCGTTTAATTCACTCTGTTTTTGTAAGTTCTAAAATAGTGTGAATTTCTTTGTTTGAAGAGTACATTAAATACAAGATTATTTCCTGTTATCAGTAATACCCAAAGTCATGATATCTATCTTGGCATAAGCTGAAATATTTTGAAAACCAAATAAGACTGATCAGATATTGAGGTTGTTTGCTATTGCATAGGTAGTTGTGATTTACATCTGTAGCACTCATTCTCTTAGATTGCTTTCTTAAATATATCTCTTTAATGATATGTTTTACTAAGCTTGAAATTATGCATTCTGAGTCACTTTCCCCTGTCTGGGTTTGCTCATTGGTGGCCTCACAATGGACGTGTCTGTTGCTTGCCAGCTGTTCCATGGGGAGAGCGCTTCTCTCCATATTGTTCATAATCCTCTACTCAAGTGTCTAGATTGTATTCAAGGTTATAATATTTGTCATTAAGTTGTCACTGAGTATGAGGTCCACTCCTGCAGCTCTGCTAGTTCCCATTAGTCACATCAGAGTACAGAAGGACATCTGGAGAGTTCCCCAGAGGTAATCAAAATCCAGATGATACATGACTGACGTAGCAAACTTCAGTATTGATCCAAACATTGGGCTTTTCCAACTATAAATGTTGCAAGTGTTCATGTAAAATCTGAAATGTTAAGCAGCCACAAGATATATGTATTTTTTTTGTTTCCATTATCCATAGTCAGAGAGAATGTTACAGAAGGTGTGGGGGGGAGGGAGAGACCAAGAGGATAAGGACTATATCTGTCTTCTTCAGCACTGAAACCTCAGCAACTAGTACACCACCTGGTCCATAGCGGGCAATAAATATTTGGTGAGTAAATGAAGGGGGTAACAAAAAAGACCAACGTGTGGTCAGTAGTCCTTTTGACACCAGTGCCACATGGAGCTTGTTTTTTCTTTAGCAATTGTAGCTGCCATTTGTGGAATCTGTCTGTTTTCAGCTAGGCTCAATGTTTAGTAGAAGATTTTTGCCCTTCCCCACAAGTCTCCTCATACCAGTGAGACTCAAAGGGCCCTATTCTACTCCTCCACCACAACTGCCACCACCACTACCATCACACACACATACATAGGTTATGAAATGCTCCACCTGGCCTATAATAAGCTCATACTACTTTCAGGGAACCTAATATTGTCTCAACAAAGTTGAGGAACAGGTGGATCCTGGTAAATAGCCATAGTTTCTGAATAGTAAAGCTACGAGATTGTATAATGATCACCAGCTATTTTCCCCCATGAGCTAAAACAACCTGGTTTTGGTGCTGTGTTGTGGGTACAGGAGCCAGTCATTCTGTTTGGTGGGGTAGATTGTGAAGTAACTAAAATGTTTATTTTTTTCTCTCCCCCCTCCCCCCACTAACCTTGCAGCTCGCTGTGGTGATGAAGTTGCTCGTTATTTAGATCACCTTTTGGTGCACACGGCTCCCCATCCTAAAGTAGCCCTTACCCCACAGAAGGGAGGGATAAATCGGTTCCGAGCTGCTGTGCAGACAACCTGCGATTTAATGTCCTTGATGACCAAGGCCAAGGAGCTGCATGTACAGAGTGAGTAATGCCATGACTCACTGGAGTCAGGAACAGGATGACATGAAGCCCAGGATGGGGGTGGGGTGTTTATTACAGTGTAGTCAGGAACTTTGTTTTGTTCACTGCTTTATCCCAGCATCTCAGACAGCACCTAGAACATATTAGATGCTCAAATATTTGTAAAATTAATGAATTTTTACAATTAAAAATGGGTAATTAATGGGTATAGTTTTGCTATAGATAGTGCTGTGTAGTCTGGTTTAACCAGTTACATAGCAAGAAGAGACAGAACAAGAGACATGGAGCATATTCAGTTTTAACATCAAAGTATTAAAATGTGGAAAGGATTTTTTCCTCCTTTGGAAAAGTTACTAATTTGGAAGTAATTTTATTTAAAGAGAAAGCATTGCAGACTATTACAAGATAGCCTTGCAATGGAAAGGGAGATATTCTCCCTTAAGTAAGCTAAATCTGGTTCCTTAGGCCAGCTGTAACTTATACAGTCAGTTGTTCCAGCAGTGTAGAGCTGTATTTGTCAACTACAGTATCATTCTTCAACAGCTTTACCATTCTTCTCCCCAAGACTACTATCCTCCCTCAGTAGTATTCACGGTGGAGGATGTCTTCTACCACACATTGCCAGGAGTAGTCATGGTTCCTAAGAGTGTTCAGTACCTGTATGATAGCTGCATATGAAGGGACAGAAGGGCTCCTTGGCCACACCTAGAGGACCTAAATGTTAACATTTCACAGATGATGAGAATGATTGAGATGCATGATCACACTGTCTAAAATTTTATTGACCATTACTAACCAAAGATATTAAACATGATCATTGGGGAATCATTTAACAGTTAGAAAAGGGAAAAGCTTAGCATACATAGCCTTTGCGTATGCTTCCTTGACAAAGGGCTTATGCAAAGACATCAGCTTTATTAAGTTATACTTCTTGATTGTGAATCAGGAAACTTGAACTTAATTCCCAGCTCTGCTACTTACTTGCTTGAACAGTTATCTGAGCTCTGTATCTCTCTTTCTCTATCTGTAAAATGGCAAAAATGACAAGAGAGTCTCTCCTTAGAGGTTATGGTAAGTGTTTTAACAATGAACTGTAAGTAAAAATCTTAGGAATGTCTCGAAGTTGGTCAGCCACTACATTTTTTGATTCCCTAGATAGGGTCATCCGTTTATCTGTTCTCAAGCAATTCCAACTGCTAGCAGCCAGATATTCTTCTGAGAGAGTCCAGAAAATACAAAATGTAACTGGGTTCTTTCTGTTATATGTGGTATTCTATTAAAGTATCAGTGATGGCACCATTGTGGTATTGATTACGTTTGTAGAATTTAATATCTTATATGTCCAGCTGATGCTATAATTCTAGATATTCCATTCAAAATATGTTGATTGATTGATTGAATATCCTTTGATTTATCTGCCCTTCATATTTCTTTTCTTTGCTATTACCAAGAAAGGGTAAACTTCTCATTCTTGTTCTATAAAGAACCAACCCATATGTAACTTCATTGTTGAGGTCAACTGTGCATTTTTATTAATCTCTTAATTATCTAAGCTTTTCCATAAATATCAACCTCTTGCAGATGTACACATGTATCTTCCTACAAAGATATTTCAGGCTTCCTGGCCTTCACTCAACTTACTTGACTTACTTCATGCACCACAAGAGGACCAGGTAAATTTGCACAGGAGGTATTTCTATCAGCTTTTTGCAAAACTGCCATTCTTACAGAAAATAATAGAACTAGTCATTATGGTTTCTACTAGTAACTGGTGGTAGGCAAAATGCCACCATGGTGAAGATAAATGTCCTTTTTAGTTCACTTTTTAAATGGGCAAGTTTTTCTAGTCAGGCTTAAGAAAACTAGATTGCTGTATCATGCATTCTGAAGGTGTCATTGTTTTTGCTTTACTTTTTGTCAAAATTTAGGAAACTCTTATGGAAAAGGTTTAGAAAGTGAAAAGATCAACACTCTAGGGCGTTATTTAAGGTGAGCACTTGTGGATTTTTTTTGTCTTTTCTCAAACTAAAGGTTCCCTCTGTTCGTGTAGAAATACATCTTCCTAGAGACCCATCTGGGGAGGTGGACTTCAAAGCACTGGTTTTACAGTTGAAGGAGACCTCCAGCTTACAGGAGCAAGCTGATATCCTCTATATGCTATATACTATGAAGTAAGTGATGGATATTATCAATCTACTTTCATGATCATATAGAAAACGAAGTATAGCATAGTAAGTATAGCACTGCTCTGGAGTCTCACTGTTGTGGATTTGAATAGTTTTGCAACCTACCCACTGCGTAACTTTAAAGTCTCAATTGTCCTCATTTATAAAATTTGGATTATACCTACCTCATAGAATTGTTTTAAAGATTAAAACAAGATAAAATATCTGCAGTCTCTAATACAATGCCTGGTACATAGTAAGTGACTAACAACATAAACATTATTATCATTATTATGGTTATTTTAAGCCTCCATTATTTGGTAAAATCTATAGATAAATTTTTAACTCAAAAGAAGTAAGAATATGGAGGCTTACAGGAAAAAAAAAGTAGCATTAGTGAGTGTTTGCTGTGTGTCAGGCACCCTCTGCTAGGTACATTTTATCTAGGTACCTCTAACTCTAGGTACCTTGAACTCCTCTCTCCTGTCCCCCAAATTCCCCCACAAAATTACCTGTTCTTCCTCATTTATTCATGTTGTCAGCACCATGAAGAGGCAGGATGGACCCCCGCCCTCCCCTAATTGGTTTTGGATGTCAAGACTGATGATGCCATACACATACCAGAAGGGTGTGGGTCCTTAAAAAGCAGGGAAAGAGGCTGGATTTGGAATTTTATTATGATTAGAAGGTGAGGCTGGGATGAGGGTTCATTCTCAACAGCACCAAAAGAGGGAACACTCAGACTTTTTTATCAACTTGCCCAGGAGTTGGCTGGAAAGGAAAGGGGAATGGTAGGACTTGAAAGCAGTCAGCAGTCAAATATCAAAAATGGAGTCGCAAAAAAAGAAAAAAAAAATGAAGTCGCTCCTATGAAATTCTCCATCTCTATTGTTGGAATCAACACCTACCTAATCATCAAGCCTTCTCCCTATATCCAGTTAATCACCAAGTCTGTCCAGTTTTACCTCTAAATATTTATCTTCTGCATCTCTAATATTGCTGCCTTCATTCAGGCCTATGTCTCTCCCTAGGACTATTGTTACAGTTTCCTAACAAGTCTTTCTACTTCAATCTAGTTTTCCTCAAACGCGTCCTCAACAGAGGAGGGAGAGTAACTTTGATGATGTTGCCGAAATGCCCAGGCTTACACAAAAGTAGAGAGAATACTGTGATGAACACTTTTGGACCCATCTCCCAGCCTGAACAACTAAAAACTCATGGTTAATCTTGTCACATCTATATTCTCATTCTCTCTTCCTCCTGGATTATTTTGAAGAGGATACACCAAACATTTTATCAGTTTATTCTTAAATATTTCAGTATTATTTCTAAAAGACAAAAACCTCTTAAAACATAACCACAATGGGACTTCTGGTTCTGGACAAGATAGAGTAAATGCATTTCTCTCTGTTCCTCCTGCTAGGTACAGGAGGACATTATTTATAAAACAAACATAACAAGATGTTGAAAGGTGGAGAGAAGGCAGCAGGCTGGCTAAGGACCTCATGATTCGAGGACTGAGAGGGTGCTGACGTCCCCAGGTTTTCTTTGTTGCCTCACTGGGTGCTGGAGAAGCCAGCAGCCTGAAAAGGCCAGTCAGTGGGCACAGACAACAAAAGCCCTAAGGAAAACCCGTTCTTCCCAGACAAAGGGCTAGGAAAGAGGCACTCAAGCAACACACACAACTTTTAAACAATAACCACTCTATTCCAGCCAAGCACCAGAGAAAAATCTGCGGTGCTACCCCTGTCAGCAAAGGCTGAGTGGAAAGCCCAGACTTCTGCTCTCACCAAGGCAGGCACTGCTCCACCTTTCTCACTGCCAGGGGAGTGTCAAAGAAGGCTAGGTAGGGATTTGGGACTTTCATCCCCTCTAGGTGGTAATGAAGTCCCCTTGGCCTGACTCCAGAGCCTATGCCATTTCCATCAGATTATGGTGTTTAATGAGTAAGTAAAAAAGGAAGCTGAAAAGCCCGCCAGCACTAAAGTCAAAGTTTTACACATCCAATTTTATTAAAAATAGCCCAAACATATTTTAAGCCATTTAGGGCCTGCCTGCTTTGTATCCTCCTCAAAACTCAACCTGCATCTGCTAGCAAGAGATAAGCCCTGGGCCATGAGTGTCCCAAACCATTGCTGCCATTCAGAACTTTCTAACCTAGAGCCTCCCCACAGTGCTACTGAGGGACTACACCTAGACCTGTAACCCCGCTCCTCCCCTCTTCCCTGGGAGTTCCCTTGCCCTCCTCCTGTTATGGATGGTAGAACTTGTGCCTTATATAAGCCTCCTGACAGTCTGATGCTGTGAGGGACTTTGCCTCTCATACAACCCTGTCCAAGTGCCAACTGTTAAAGCTTGTTATGTGCTACTACCAAGAAAAAGACATGGGTTTTATTACTCTGATACCTCTATTCCTTTCCTTTTTCCTTTAGGATAAGCAGTCTGTTCAAAAAGTATCAGTTGAATACTTATGTACCAGGCACAATGCTAAATGCAGAGTAATGAAAAGATAGAGAAGGTGAGAAGAGATAAGGGTTAAGGACAGAATGACTAATGACTGTAGCTTGAATGAAAACTGAAGATTCAGCAGGGTCATTGGGATAGGCAAGCAAAGGCTTGAAACACTCATGCTTTCCTACCAATTCAGATGGTCCATGGTTGACTGCCAACTCTTCCACTCCTAACATGAGTTTTCTTCATCTAATCCTGTACATACTAACTTCACCATAACATCTGATCAAAACCTGTAATCTCACTAGAACTAGTTACTCTAGTATCAAACCACTTGAGTAGATTGTTTGATGTGCTGCATGGTTTTTAATACACTTGGAATTCTGCCCAATATCCCTTGTGGATTTGAGTAGAAACTGGGAGGTGGGGTTTCCTATGTCTGTTGACTAGTATTCCTTCTGTGAGTTGTCTGTTCATAACCATTGTTTGCTCTCCATTGGGTTATTTATATTTTCCTTATAGTAATAGTATATATTACTATTTTGTTTGTTATATTTGTTGCAGATATTTTGTCCAAGGAATTTGTGTTTTAACTTTGTTCATATGCTTCTCTCTATCCAAACTTTCGTTTTTTAAAAAAATATTTATTTATTTACTTATTTGGCCACACTGGGTCTTAGTTGCGGCACACAACATCTTCGTTGTGGCGTGGGGGATCATTAGTTGTGGCACGTGGGATCTTTAGTTGCAGCATGTGGTGTCTAGTTCCCTGACCAGGGATCGAACCCCGGCCCCCTGCATTGGGAGCGTGGAGTCTTAACCGCTGGACCACCAGGGAAGTCCCAAAAGTTTTGTTTTATATAGTCTTTTCTTTTTTGGCTTCTGAGTTTCTTATCATGCATGGGGAGAACCTTCTCCCCTCCCAGAATTTAAAAATATTTTAAATACCTTTAAGAATTTTAAAAAATTTAAGTCCTTAATCTACTCAGAATTCATTTTTATATGTCTTCTTACTCAACATGTCTAAAGTCAAATTCAGTCTTTACCAGAAACCTACTACTGCCTGACGCTTTTCATGGTATTATCATTCTTTCAGTCATCCAGACTTGAAATTGTGTCAACATCTTCAAGTCCTTCTAATCCCCTGCTTCTCCCTACCACATCACCACCACTACTGTTGGGAATCAGTGACCAAACCTATATCCTCTATAATCTAACTTTCAACCTTTACCATTGCTCCCCCATCACAATGTGAATACTGCCACCAAAACAGCCTGCTACTTATCACATCCAAAACAAAGCCTGTACATGACCACTTTCAGACCTTGGTTCATGTTTTTTCCTCTGTCTGGACTACTCTCCCTTTACCACATCCCATCTCTCCTCGTTGGAATTCTAGCTATCCATCAAGGCCTGGATCATCTGTCACCTCCATGAAACTTTCTCTGATACCTAGGAATAAAAAGGATCTTCCCTGATTATGAGATCTCATAACATTTATTTTCATATTATTTATTTTTATTTTGACTATTTCAAACTTAGAGAAAAGTTGTAAGGATAGTACAAAAAAAAAGTTCTGAGAAAACCATAATTCAAAAAGTCATGTACCACAATGTTCATTGCAGCTCTATTTACAATAGCCAGGACATGGAAGCAACCTAAGTGTCCATCAACAGATGAATGGGTAAAGAAGATGTGGCACATATATACAGTGGAATATTAGCCATAAAAAGAAACAAAATTGAGTTATTTGTAGTGAGGTGGATGGACCTAGATTCTGTCATACAGAGTGAAGTAAGTCAGAAAGAGAAAAACAAATACCATATGCTAACACATATATATGGAGTCTAAAAAAAAGAAAAACAAATGGTCATGAAGAGCCTAGGGGCAGGATGGGAATAAAGACACAGACTTACTGGAGGATGGACTTGAGGATATGGGGAGGGGGAAGGGTAAGCTGTAACAAAGTGAGAGAGTGGCATGGGCATATATACACTACCAAACTTAAATTAGATAGCTAGTGGGAAGCAGCCGCATAGCACAGGGAGATCAGCTCGGTGCTTTGTGACCACCTCGAGGGGTGGGATAGGGAAGGTGGGAGGGAGTGAGACGCAAGAGGGAAGAGATATGGGAACATATGTCTGTGTATAACTGATTCACTTTGTTATAAAGCAGAAACTAACCATTGTAAAGCAATTATACTCCAATAAAGAAGTTTAAAAAAGTAATAAAATTAAATTAAAAATTAAAAAAAGAAAAAAGTTCTGGATATCCTTCACCCAGATCCCTCAGATATTCACACTGAGCTTTAATATCTCTCTCCCCCCTCCCTGCCTCCCTCCCTCCCTGTCTTGTTCTTCATCATCTCATCATCACCATCACCACACACACATTTTTTTTCTGAACCATTTGACAGTATGTGGCAAACATGATCCCCTTCTACCCCCAGATACTTCAGTGTGTATTTCCTAAAGACTAGGAATTCTCTTATATAAGCACAGTATAATTGCCAAAATCAGAAAATTAATGTTAATATAATACTGTTATCTAATCTACAGACCTTATTGAGATTTGTTGGTTGTCCCAATAATGTCTTTATAGCAAAAGAAAATCTAAATGATGCATTTCATTTAGTTCTTATGTGTCCCTCATCTCCCTTAATCTGGAACAGTTCCTAAGTCTTTATTTTTAATGTTATTGACATTTTTGAAGGATACAGACCAGTTGTTTTGCAGAATATCCCTAAATTTTGGTTTATCTGTTGTTGCCTCATAATTAAATTCAGGTTATGCATTTTGGGCAAGAATGCTACTGAAGTGATGCTGAGTTCTTCTCAGTGTATCCTATCAGGAGGCACATAGTATTGATGAGTCCCATTTCTGCTAACTTTGACCACTTGTTTAAGGTAGTATCTTCCACCTTCCTCCACTGTAAAGTTACTATGTTATACTTCAAAATTAAAAAGTATCTTGTAGAGATGTACTTTGAGACTGTGAAAATATCCTGTTACTCTTCAGACTTTCATTCACTGTTTCTTGAATCCATCGATTCGTATAGTATAGATTTAGTTTTATTATATTAAACATTTATATTATATATAATTTAATATATTGAATAGATAACACATTATCATGGTTCAAACATTTTAAAGTACAAAAGGATACAGTGAAGGGGTAAAAAGTCTTTCTCCCACCTCTGTTCCCCAGATACCTGGTTCCCCTCCTCATAGGCAATCAATGCTATTGTTTTTTTGTGTATCCATCCAGGGACATTTTATGCATATATAGGTAAATACAGATATATATGTGTTTACTTTTATACCTGTTTACCCAAATGGTAGATTGAACACCTTTTCTTAAGTTTAAAAGCCATTGGTACTTATTTTGCCAGATGTTCTTTTGTTGTTTTTTATTTTCTTACCTATTTGTTAGAATTCTTTTTTTTTAACCTCTTAATCTCCCTCACCTATTTCTCTCCTCCCCCCACTCCTCTCTCCTCTGGCAACCATGTTTGTTCTCTGTATCTATGATACTATTTCTGCTTTGTTATGTTTGTTCATTTGTTTTATTTTTTAGACTCTATATATAAGTGAAGTCATACAATATTTATCTTTCTCTGTCTGACTTATTTCACTTAGCATAATATCCTCTAGGTCCACCATCCATGTTTTTGAAAATGGCAAGATTTAATTCTTTTTTATTGCAGAGTAATATTCCATTGTGTGTGTATGTATGTGTGTATATGTATATGTGTGTGTATGTGTGTGTGTGTATATATATATATATGTGTATATATCTATCACATCTTTATCCATTCATATTGATGGGCATTTAGTTGCTTCCATATCTTGGCTATCATAAATAATGCTGCAATGAACAGAGCTGTGCATATATCTTTTCAAATTAGTGTTTTCATTTTCTTCAGATAGATACCCAGAAGTGGAATTGCTGGATCATATGGTAGTTCTATTTTTAAGGGTTTTGGTTTTGCCTTTTTTGAAAATTTTATTGAAGTATAGTTGATTTACAATGTCATGTTAGTTCAGGTGTACAGCACAGTGATTCAGTTTTATATATATATATATATATATTCTTTTTCAGATTCTTTTCCCTTATAGGTTAGTACAAAATATTAAATATAGTTCCCTGTGCTATATAGTAGGTCCTTGTTGGTATTTCTAAGTTTTTGAGGAATCTCCATACTGTTTTCCATATGACTGCACCAATTTACATTCCCACCAACAGTGCATGAGGGTTCCTTTTTCTTCACATCCTCACAAACACTTGGTATTTCTTATCTTTTTGATGATGGCCATTCTGACGGGTGTGAGGTGATATCTCATTGTGGTTTTGATTTGCATATCCTTGATGATTAGTGATATTGAGCGTCTTTTCATGTGCCTATTAGCCATTTGTATGTCTTCTCTGGAAAAATGTCTATTCAGATTCTCTGCCCATTTTCAATCAGATTGTTTATTTTTTTTGATGTGAATTGTATGAGTTGTCTATTTTGGATATTAACCCTTCATTGGATATATCATTTGCAGTTGTCTTCTCCTATTCAGTAGGCAGCATTTTTGTTTTGTTGACAGTTTCCTTCTCTGTGCAAAAACTTTTAGTTTGAGGTAGTCTCATTTGCTTATTTTTGCTTTTGTTTCCCACACCTGAGGAGACATATCCAAAAACATATTGCTAAGACCAGTGTCAAAGAGTATACTGTCTATGTTTTCTTCTAGAATTGTTATAGTTTCAGGTCTTACATTTAAGTCTTTAATCCATTTTGACTGTATTTTTATATATGGTGTGGGAAAGTAGTCCAGTTTGATTCTTTTGCATGTAGCTGTCCAGTTTTCCCAGCACCGTTTATTGAAGAGGCTGTCTTTTCTCCATTGTATATTCGTCTCCTTTGTTGAACATTAATTAAGCATATAATTGTGGGTTCATTTCTGAGCTCTCTATTCTGTTCCATTGGACTGTGTGTCTGCTTTTGTGCCGGTTCCATGCTGCTTTGAAGACTGCAGCTTTATAGCATAGTCTGAAGACAGGGAGCATGATTCCTCCAGCTTTTTCTTCTTTCTCAAAATTGTTTTGGCTATTCAGTGCCTTTTGTGTTTCCATACAAATTTTAGAATGATTTGTTCTAGTTCTGTGAAAAATGCCATTGGTATTTTGATAGCAATAGCATTGAATCTGTAGATTGTCTTGGGTGGTATGGTCACCTTAGCAATGTTAATTCTTCCAATCCATGAGCACAGTATGTCTTTTCATTTGCTTATGTCACCTTCAATTTCTTTTATCAATGTCTTATAGTTTTCTGAGTACAGGTCTTTTACCTCCTTAGTTAGATTTATTCCTAGGTATTTTATTCTTTTTGATTTGATTTTAAATGAGATTGTTCTTAATTTCTCTTTTTGATAGTTTATTGTCAGTGTATAGAAATGCAGCAAATTTCTGTATATTAATTTTGTATCCTGCGACTTTTCTGAATTCATTGATGAGTTCTAGTAGTTTTTTGGTGGAATTCTTTATACATTAGGAAAATTGGCCTATGAATTGCAAATATTTTTCTGTTTGTAATTTGTCCTATGACTTTGCTTATAGTGGTTTTTGCAATAAGAGTTTTGTATATTTATATATACATATATATATATATATATATATAAATGTATCAGTCTTTCTTTTATGGCTTTTGGTGTATAGTTCACAGCTTAAAAGTCCTTGACTCTGAAATTATAAAATAGTTCTCCCATATCTCTTTTAGTACTTTAACATTTAAATTTGATACATTTGGAATTTTGGTGTACAGTGTGAGGCGTGGATTCAATGTTTTATCCAGATGGCTACTTGATTGTCTTAACATCATTTAATAAATAATCTACCTTTTATCATCTATTAAATTCCCCAATTTCATAGCACTTCATATATCTTTTATGGTACTTCACAGTTGACTTGTGGTATAGGAACTTTTACGACAATAATGTATATGATGTGTGTGTGTGTGTTGTGTGTGTGTGTGTGTGTGTATATATGTATCTTTTAAAAATAAGCACACATTCTTCTTACTTCTTCATTAGTTCCCTAAGTGTAGCATTCTTTCTGAACTTTCAGTAGTTAAATTAAATCTTTGACTTTAATTTCAGCTACTTTGAAGCCCATTAAGAGGGTAAAAGAATGTATTTTGTCAAAACACAACTGAAACTAAGACTTATTCTTGTCTAGGTATTCGGCTTTCAGTACCGACTTAAAAATAGTTTTACGAGAATTCGTAGTAAATAACATCCATTTCCTAATGAGAGAAACCTATCAAAAACAGGCATATTCACTATGACACAAACAAAGTATTGTTGCCTGTAGCTTTATTTATAATTAATGTAGACCTGCCTTTAACATTCCAGAGGACCTGACTGGGACACTGGATTGTATGATGAAGGGAGTGCAACAGTCAGAGAGCTGCTTACTGAGCTCTATAGCAAAGTTGGAGAAATTCGTCACTGGGGCCTGATCCGATACATCTCTGGAATCTTAAGGAAGAAGGTGGAAGCACTCGATGAGGTACTATAAATTCTTCTTGAATTTATACCAAATCTAAATGGAGGTGCTTTTTATAAATTGGTTTCTGCAGTTGTTTTTTAAGGCAGTCACCACAGCATCTAACCATTTAAGATGTTGTTTTTCCCACATAACATTTCTGATTATCAGGTAGCTTTTTTTGTTTATGAATGTCAAATATATAATACTGAAGCATATAAACTGTAGACTTATAGAGGTGTTATAAACTATGAGGATTCTAGGTCTTAAGAATGAATTTATACTAGGCTAAAAGTTCCTACCTTTTAGGAGATAAAAATACTTCATTGTTCCTTCCTAGAAATCCCTCTTTTCTGATCTTCATTGCATTTCCTGAGGAAAAGATTGATGTGTCATTAAGTTAAGGGGGAGCAAAGGTTTCTAGGCTGAAAACAGAAAATTTCGTGGAAATGTGAGGTGTTATGGGAAGGATAATACTATTATACTATTTATTCCTAGGCCTGCACAGACCTTCTCTCCCACCAGAAACATTTGACAGTGGGACTCCCTCCAGAACCTCGAGAGAAGACCATCTCTGCGTTAGTATGGTTTTTGTTTGGGTTTGATGAAGCTTCTCTGAGACTTTAAGGAGCTGTGTGGACTGACTGCAATTCTCTTGTCCTAATCTATAAGTGGATGATAATGTCCTACGTGTGTGAGCTTCTATCAGGGACAGTGAATGTGAGAATATTGGTAGTGATAGGACATGAGTAAATGAAAGAGAAGGCTCACAGGGAGTAGTACTCAAATGTATTTTGCTCTTTTGGGGTTTTTTTGTTTGTTTGTTTTTACTTATTGGCTTTACCAAACGTTTTATTCAAAAAACAAACAAACAGGGCAACTGGAATTAGCCCCCACAAAAAATCAGCTATACTCTAGACTTTGTTCCAGGCCTCTCTCCTTGGCTTATAGATGGCTGTTTTTTCCTTATGTCTCTTCACATTTCTTCTCTCTCTGTGTGTCTCTGTGTCCAAATTTCTCACTTATAAAAGACACCAGTCATATTAGATTAGGGCCCACCCAATTACCTCACTTTAGCTTACCTCTGTAAAGACACTCTGAGATACTAGGGATTAGGATTTCAACATAGGAACTTAGAGGGAACACAGTTCAATCCATAACACCTTATTCCTGGCAAACAGAACCTTTTATTACAAATCAGATCAATTTTGTGGCTACTGTGGGCAATCCAAAAGAAGATGGCATGCCCCATGCCCCCAGAGTGCTTAGTATCAACAGGAGAGTCAGAAGTGTAGGAGGGTGTGTGTGTGTGTAAACTGATGAAACTATAAAAAATCAGTATAACTCTATAAGGTGTGATTGTAAAGTAATAAAATGTCTTCCAAAAGGCACAGCTTAAATTTAGTTTATTACTTTTTAGCCATAATAGTTACTTGTCAAATGTCAAGAATTAACCATGAAAGACTGGTCTGGAAGGACGTCATGGGGTGAGTTTTAAATACAATTTGGAAGGAGAAGGGCAATCCAGGCTTAGAGACGGGAGAGCAGAGCTCTCCTGAGTTGATATGGGCCAGAGTGCTTTGGGGAGGCAGTGAACTTTGAAGACTGAAAGAACCAGAATGCTACCAGTAATGATGAGATGTTGAGACACTGACTTGGACTTGGGAGGAGCTTTTTTATTTTCTCAATAAATTTAGCTTTAAGTAGTTGCAGAATTTTGTCTTTCTCCACTGTCCTCTTCCTTAGACCTCTGCCCTATGAAGTACTCACTCAGCTGATAGATGAAGCCAGTGAAGGGGACATGAGCATTTCAATTCTTACACAGGTGAGCAGAATTATAAAGCCTAATCTGGTGATTGATATTTAAAAGTTTGTTTTCAGTTGATCTGGCAATTTCTGAAGACCACAAAATAAGCCTTGTGAGATCTAGGGCATAATTTTTGTCTATATTCATTCCATGCACAGGAAATAATGGTATATCTAGCCATGTATATGCGAACTCAGCCTGGCCTCTTTGCTGAAATGTTTCGACTTCGAATTGGTCTGATCATACAAGTTATGGCAACAGAACTGGCCCACTCCCTTCGATGCTCAGGTATTCAATTAAGTAACTGTTTGAGGCAGAATTCACTTTTAATAGAGTTCTATTGAGTTTTTAATCAGGAGGGAAAGGAATCTAAAGGATTTTTATCAGTAGCTCAGAAGCTGCATATAGCAGTCTTGTTCCTATGTTAGTCAGTCTCTATACAAGTCAAGGGACTGCTATGACAAATTTATATATTAGTTGTCAACTTCAAAATTCCACCTCCTAGGGGCTCTGCACTCCCAATGACATTCCTACTAACTCCTAGAGTGATCCGAGGCATACATCAAACTAAGTGTGATAGACTGGGTTCAATTCTGATTCAGGCATGGCCACCTCTGGCTGTCAGATTGAGTCACCACATCAGTTTGATTATAGTGTCAATATTCTGTCTAGTCAACATCAGGATCAAATAAAGGAAGGCAATATTTCTATTCATATTTATCTGACAAGACTCTTTGATATTGGCTATAGGTGTATTTGGCAAGGTAGCAGTTTTAGTTAGAAGAATAGATGGGGCCTTTGGAAGCTGTAGCACAGAATTATGGGGAGACCCCATGGCATGACTATTTTTTCCTTCGGTATTTGATTTCAACAAGAATGGCAAAGTAATAGAGATAGGGATTGAATACAAAGATAAAATCACAGTTGCAAAACTCAATTTTAGCCATTGTTTCAGTTAAATTTCCCCAAAAGGCTTTTAATTGAGCTGTTAGCAAGTAGCTAAATTTATTGGTTTGAATCTAACCTAAATTACATGAGATAATGTATATTTAAATAACCCTTTAAAGGAATAAAGCTAATGATTATTTTATACCTACCATATGCCAGACACTGTACTTTTTGCTTTTTATTTACATATATTATCTAATTTAATCCTTACAACAACCAACTGGAGAAGGTATTTTTATCTCACTTTTACTGATGGTAAAAGGAATTGAAACTCAAACTATTGGATGTAAAATAGGCTCAAGAATGTATTGTATAAAGAAGATGTGGCACATACATACAATGGAATATTACTCAGCCATAAAAAGAAATGAAATTGAGCTATTTGTAATGAGGTGGATAGACCTAGAGTCTATCATACAGAGTGAAGTAAGTCAGAAAGAGAAAGACAAGTACCGTATGCTAACACATATATATATGGAATTTAAGAAAAAAAATGTCATGAAGAACCTAAGAGTAAGACAGGAATAAAGACACAGACCTACTAGAGAACGGACTTGAGGATATGGGGAGGGGGAAGGGTGAGCTGTGACAAAGCGAGAGAGTGGCATGGACATATATACACTACCAAACGTAAGGTAGATAGCTAGTGGGAAGCAGCCACATAGCACAGGGAGATCAGCTCGGTGCTTTGTGACCACCTAGAGGGGTGGGATAGGGAGGGTGGGAGGGAGATGCAAGAGGGAAGAGATATGGGGACATATGTATAACTGATTCACTTTTTATAAAGCAGAAAGTAGCACACCATTGTAAAGCAATTATACTCCAATAAAGATGTTAAAAAAAAGAATGTATTGTACAACACAGGGAATATAGCCAATATTTTGTAATAACTGTAAATGGAAAGTAACCTTTAAAATTGTATAAAAATTTTAAATTCTTTAAATAAAGCTAATGAGCAGTTTTTAAAAAATGAAACTCAGAAAGGTTAATAACTTGCCCGAAGTTACATAACTGGTAAATAGTGAAATTTGAGTCCAAGTCTGCCTGATTCCAAATGATCGCCAGTTCAGCACATTGTTATAAGATTACATGTATATATATTTTTTTTTCTCAAGCTTTGGTATCAAGTGATGTTTTATGAGAGTCTGATTATTCAATAATAAACCTCAAGAAGGGATAAATCCTCAAACATTCTTCACTTTTCCTTAATTGCCCATTACAGATATTTTTTTTCCTGTGGATTCATCAAACCATGGCTATTTATTTCTTCTAGGATAAAGTCAAGATCCCTGGGTCTGATATTCAAGACCCTCAACAGTCTGGCCTCTACCTCCCACTTCAACAGTACTTCCCACTAATTTTATCAGTCCCCATCCTTGGAGATTGATGTCTCCTCTTATTTCCAAAGCATTTATTGTCTATACCTCTCATTTGACACTTAGTATAGCCATGCCATATTTTACTGTTGTTTACATGTCCAGTCTTTCCCAAATAGTTGGTCAGCCTCACAAGGTCAAGTACCATGTCATACCTGTTTGTACTAACATTGTTTAAAATCATGACCTACATGTAGTAAACTCATAATAGGTGTCTGATGTTGATGAACAAATTCAAGTTATATTCTCAATATTCTTCATAATTTCATAGATTCATATCTATTCTCTTTTTAAATCCCCATATTTCCAGATAGAGAGAAGTTTTGATTATTTTAGCCCATCTTCACAGATACAATCATTGCTTTCTCCGACTGGTTTCCAGTTCCATTGTGCTCCTTTCATTCTTCCCACTTTCAAATAAAGATTCTACTGAGTATCCTAATGATGTGGAAGAGGGGTGAAGAAGAAATCAAGGGCCTAGTTAATCCATAAACTGGATAATCAGTCCTTAAATTATTAAGAATCTGTTGGAGGATGAATACCTAGGCAGTATGGTGCTGGAAATTTATTTTCTTTAACATCTTTATTGGAGTATAATTGCTTTACAATGTTGTGTTAGTTTCTGCTGTATAACAAAGTGAATCAGCTATATGTATACATATATCCGCACACCCCCTCCGTCTTGTGTCTCCCTCCCACCCTCCCTATCCCACCCCTCTAAGTGGTCACAAAGCACGGAGCTGATCTCCTTGTGCTATGCAGCTGCTTCCCATTAGCTATCTATTTTACATTCAGTACTGTATATATGTCAATGCTACTCTCTCACTTCATCCCAGCTTACCCTTCCCTCTCCCTGTGTCCTCAAGTCCATTCTCTACGTCTGCGTTTTTTCTTCCAATCAAGTGACTCAGAAATTCTAAGCAAGAAAGGAAATAGAGAAAAAATAGGGTGAGAGTGGCAGGTCAATTAGAAATCCCTCTGTTCTAACATTTCTGCTGAGTAGCTGAGGAAGCCACAGATGGCCTGATGAATCTCAGTCCTTCAGCCATGAAGAACCTCCTGCATCACATTCTCAGTGGCAAGGAGTTTGGCGTGGAACGAAGCGGTAAGGTTGAATCACTGCATTTCTATTTCAGAATGTTTGTTTTAAATGTCTCATTGATTTTAAAGTGTTTCTCTTTTATCAGCGGAACTTTTCTCCCAAATAAATAGGACCCCAGTATATGAAAGTTAAAACCACAACTGTCTTCTGGAACAAGATTTGGAAACCACTGTGTGTCTTTTTTTCCCTTAAATGATATGTCAGTTAAGTAGATTACTAGCATATTTTGTTTTGGACTGTTTTATACATTCCCTTACATTATCTTAAGACTCTACTTTAGGACAACTAGCAACCTGTATCATCTGAAACTTTCTTGTATTCCAGTTGGCAATAATTCAGTAGCACTTATAGTTGGGGGGGGCGGTGTGTGTGTGTGTGTGTGTGTGTGTGTGTGTGTGTGTGTAGCTGCTACAGTGCACCTGATACATCCTTTCACTTTTAAATTCGAATACGTTTAGGGGTCTATCACAAATTAACCTTACACCTGCACTTGGTGGTTTGGTAGTGGTATTTGATATCAAGTACCTAAAACATCAGAGCAAATTAAAAGAGTTATCTCTCATGCTTAACTTTTAGACTTAGAATAAATAAATATATAATGTCAGATGGATGGGTACTAGACCTTAGATTGTTATAAAGCAGTGTTCCTCAAGCCTTACTGTTCATAAGAATCACCTGGGTATCTTGCTAAACTGCAGGCTTTAATTCTAGAGTTGGGCCTAAAATTCTAACAAGCTTCTAGGTGAAGCTAATGCTGCAGGCCTGTGGACCACACTTTGAATAGCAAGGTTTAGTTGGTTGTTTGGTTTTTATTATTATTAACATAAAAGGAGGACATACATCTAAGTCTTTTAAATGTGGTGGAGAAAAAAAATTGAACCTGGTTATTCTCCCTCTTTCTCTTTAATCTGTCATGCTATATAGTTCGTCTCACTGATTCAAATATCAGCCCTGCTATTTCTATCCGTGAGATTGGTGCTGTTGGAGCAACCAAACCAGAACGAACTGGGATTATGCAGTTAAAAAGTGAGATAAAGCAGGTAAGATACTACTTGGGAACTGAGCTGGGATACTTTCATATTTAAGAACATTCTTTTGGACTGAGACTTTGTTAAGATCATGTATTTTGTTTCATATTCTGAGTTTAATTTGAGCCATTTATTTTTCAGGTGGACTTTCGTAGACTGTCTATCTCAACTGAGAGTCAGGTGAAACAAGTAGGGATCCATTAATATAGATTAACCTGCCTTTAGTTCTATAAAACATGCATGAGCTTATGGCTTTTTTACAAATAAGATAAGCCACAGAGTAGCTTGTTTGATTCTCCTTTTTAGCAATCTTTCTGCAGATAGCTTTCATTTTTCTGGGCCAAACTATCTTCCTGATTTTAAGAGGAAAGTAACTTGTTTCTGATAGCAAGAAATTGAAACCTTGAATTCCTCTTGTTAGGATTAATACATAATTTTGGAATTAATTTTATGAAAGTAGACTTACATTTCTTGCTTTTAAGAACCAGACTAGGTAAGGGCTTTTTTAAACATCTATTTTCAGTTATTGTCCAGAAATTAGATTTTTATCATTGTCATGATAGAGGTATACCAAAGGTGTTGTGAACACGTAGAGGAAGAACATATAAATCAATCTGAGAGTTGGTGGGAGTCACCAAACATCATACTGTAGGCTGTTACTAATTTTTTCCTTGAAGATGAGAATAGATGAGTTATTGTGTTATACAAAGAAATAATTAACACAAACTTCCATAGTGTTTTTCAAAACTCTGGGAAATGGTGTGATTTCAAAGTCTTTTAATGAAAAGCTTAAAACTACTCCTTCTACTTCCAAAATAGACTTATGCTAGCTTACGATATTAAAACACGTCCAGAAGAGGAAAGGCAAAATGGAAATTTTGCTTGTTTGTGTGCTTGCGTGTCTGTTTGTTTTAGGAGTCAGAAACCATTTAGGAAAATAAAGAGCCAATGCTTGATGTTTAATTTGAAGTAAACTTAATTTAGGTATACCTATCAGATATCCTTTTACGTTTATATTATGCAAGTACAAGACCAGAATGGAATAAGAAAGGGCCTTGTGATAGAAAAGTGTTCACTTTACAGGATTTTTTCCTAGACGATTTGTATAATATGAACATTTTCCTATCTGAAAGGTTAAAGAACTACATTTCATACTGAAGAGTTAAAGTGATGCTCCTGGTAAACAGTTCTTGTTTTGGTTGAGAGTGATTGGCTAAATACTTCATGGTTGTTTATAGTCACAGAGTATTACTTACATGTTCATTATATATTTAGAACTTGAAGTCCATGTTCCCAGCTAGATTAGTATGATATTAAGGACTTGACCTACCCACCCAGCTATATCATTTAATTTTTTTTACACATACACTACCTATAGGTTAAGAAAGCCAAAATCATTAGGACTGTAATTTAGAGGATTGAGTTTTCATTACTTTCTTTCTTCTAAATACCGATTTCCATCCTCACCTGCCTGTCTGGTATTTTGTATTGTTCTAAGCCCTTTTCTCTGCCACTCACCCATGCCCTCTTTTCTGATTATAGAAAAAATACTTGTAAAGGTAGTTTTATTTATTTTACCCTTTACCATGACTTTTAGAGTCAGGTTATTTCATCAGCTTTTCTAATGATAACATGCTGGCTAGTTACTTGAATAGTCTGTAATTTTACTCTACTAATAACTTTTAAAAATACATAATGTTTGCCTTGCCTCATCCCCTTTAAAAATTTATTTTCTCAAATATTTTTCATAGCCCAATGGTAGTCATCCCCTGGGTGTAGATTTGATGTCACTGTTTTTTCTGGTAACTGCTGTTATCTTGTATTATATGACAATCAGATTGACTGAAAAAAAAATGAATCAGGCTTCCCTGGTGGCGCAGTGGCTGAGAGTCCGCCTGCCGATGCAGGGGACACGGGTTTGTGCCCCGGTCCGGGAAGATCCCACATGCCGCAGAGCGGCTGGGCCCGTGAGCCATAGGCCGTTGAGGCCACGCGTCCGGAGCCTGTGCTCCGCAACGGGAGAGGCCACAACAGTGAGAGGCCCGCATGCTGCAAAAAAAAAAAAAAAAAAAAAGAATCAAAAAGTAAAATTTATACTTATAAATCAACTTCATGCAGGGTGATATCTTTCCATTTCTTTTCCAAAAAGGCAGGTGAGGGGGTTCAACTCCAACCTCTTTTCCATTTCAGAAAACAAAATTCAATTTAATAAGTATTTATTTGTTAAGTATCTGTTCAGTCATTTATTCTTTTGACTAATATAATTAATTAAATGCCTGCTATGTGCCAGGCACTGGAAAGCATCGGTATCCGCTGGGAACTTGTTAGAGATGTGAAATATTGGTTCTCATCCTAGGCCTACTGAATCAGAAAGACTGAGGTGAGGCCCAGCAATCTGTGTTTTAATAAGCTTTCTAGGTGATTCTGATGCACTTTTAAGTTTGAAAATCACTGGGTTACTTATTCTTATTGTTTATTCATTTGTAAATATTAATTGAGTGCCAATTTTGTGCCAGGCACTGGAAATACAATAGTGAACAAAACAGATGTGGTCCTTGCCCTCATGACGCTTACAGTTTAGGAAGACTGATCTCTGATTTAGTTTCCTTGGTTTAAATCAATGATCCATAATGGCCTATGATTTCAGATTTCTTAGGCTGAAGAGGTTAAGGCCAGATGACAACCAAACAAAAAATGGAAAACTATTGGAAACAATATTGGTATTTCTGTTGACTTTAACCAAGTATATACCCTGTAATGAATTAGTGTAGTATGACTTGGCCAACTTTGTCATATCTACATTAATAAAGGAAGACAGAGGCATAGAGGAGGAGTTAATCTAAAAGCTCGGAACTATTGATATTTGGTTTTGGAAAACAGTCTGAATAGCCTTTGTGGTTTGACTCCACTCTCAGCAGCCTAGGATCTTTTTTTTTTTTTTTTTTTTTTGTCGCGGGGCCTCTCACTTTTGTTGCCTCTCCCGTTGCGGAGCAACAGGCTCCGGACGCGCAGGCTCAGCAGCCACGGCTCACGGGCACAGCCGCTCTGCGGCATGTGGGATCTTCCCGGACAGGGGCACAAACCCGTGTCCCCTGCATCGGCAGGCGGACTCTCAACCAGTGCGCCACCAGAGAAGCCCAGCCTAGGATCTTGATGGTAGAGACGAAGACAATGAAGATAAATCAAATGGAGTTCATCTACTTGGTGCATCAGTGTGATAGTCACTGGCCAATAGAAGTGCCTTAAGGCACTTTTCTCTTTTACATAGCAGTGGTGATATAGGCATTTGATCCAAATTAAAATGTAAGAAGTTCTTTTCTCAGAAAATATTTCTATTACCTTCTTTTTATTTTATATTTATTTCTGAATCTAAACTGTCAAAGAAACACTTTCCCCAATGTATTTTATCCTTTACTTTTATAAGTTTTATGTTGTAGCATGTACCAATACTCCATTCCTTTATATTGCTGAAGAATACCTTACTGTATTGATATACACCACATTTTATTTATCCATTTATCAGTTGATGAACATCTGGGTTGTTTCTGGGATTTGGCTGTTATGAATAACGCTGCTATGAACCTTCATGTACAAGTTTTTGTGTGGACATACGTTTTTATTTCTCTTGGATATACATCTAGGATAAGTGCTGGGTCATTTGGTAACTATGGTTAACATGAGGAACTGCCAAATTGTTTTCCAAAGGGGACTGTACCATTTTACATTCCCACTGGCAATGTCTGAGGGTTCCAATTTCTTCATATCCACACCAATCCTTGCTATTGTCCATCTTTTTGATTCTAGCCATTTTAGTGGGTATGAAGTGGTATCTCATTGTGGTTTTGATTTGCAGTTCCCTAATGGCTTATGATATTAAACATCTTTTCATGTGCCAATTGACTGTTTGTTTATCTTCTTTTGGAGAAATGTCCATTCAGATCCTTTACCCATTTGTTAATTGGGTTATTTGTCTTTTTATTGTTGAGTTGTAAAGATTCTTTATATATTCTGGATACAGTCCCTAAAGGTTCTTTATGTATTCTGGATACAAGTCCCTTATCAGATGTGTGATTGGCACATAGTTTTTCCCATTCTGTGTGTTGCTTTTCACTTTTTTTTTTCTCTGAAGCATATCAACCATGCAATTTACTTTCTTGATAGCGTCATTTGAAGAACAGAAGTTTTTAGTTCGGGTGAAGTCCAATTCATCTAATTTTTCTTTTAGTGTCCTATCTAAGAAGGCATTGCCTAGCCCAAGGTCACAAAGATTTATTCCTATTTTTTAAGAGTTTTGTAGTTTTAGCTCTTACAGTTAGGTCTATGATTATGTTTATGGGTCCCCAAGACCACCTCTCGGGTTCAGTGATTCACTAGGAGGACTCACAGGACTAAGCATACTCAAAGCTATGACTTATTACAGCAAATGAATACAAAGCAACGTCAGCAAAGGGAAAAGGTGCATTGGACAAAGTCCAGGGAAAACAGGCACCAGCTTCCAGAGTGCTCTCTCAGTAAAGTCACACAGGATGCAACTCCCCGTGCAATGAGTTGTGACAACATGTATGAAATATTGCCAACCAGGGAAGCTCATTTAAGACTCAGCACCCAGGGTTTTTACTGGGGGCTGGTCACATAAACAGCCTCTGTCTGGCATGTACCAAAACTCTGGACTCCCAGAGGGAAAGCAAATGTTCAACATAAACCATAGTGTTTCCACAAACAGTTTAGGCACAATAAGCCACTGTTAATCAATTCTGAGAATGGTGGAAACCCTCCCAAAATCCAGCTTTCCAAATGCCAACCAAGGGCCAATCTTATAATCAGGCCTTTCCAAGAATAGCATTTCTGGCCTTCTATGTTAACTCTTTTTTGCACAGTAACCCATTTGGACTTAATTTTTGTGTATGGTGTGTAGTAGGGGGTCCAACTTCATTCTTTTGAATGTGACTATCCAGTTGTTCTAGCACTATCTCTTAGATAGAAGACTGTCTTTCCTCCATTTACTTTTCTTGACACCCTTGTTAAAAACTGACAAAAATGCAGTGGTTTATTTCTGAACTCCCAATTTTATTTCACTGATCTACATGCCTAGCCTATGCCTGTATGACGCAGCCTTTTTTTTTTCCAGAGAAGGAAGGATTTATTACTTGCAGCAAGTAAGGAGAACACTTGTTTTCCCAAAGCAGTGTCTCTTGACACAGTCTTGATTATTGTAGCTTTATAATAAATTTTGAAGTTGGGAATTGTGAGTCCTCCAACTTTGATCTTTTTTAAGATTGTGTTAGCTATCATGGGTCCCTTGAATTTTCACATGAATGTTAGGATAAGCTTGTCAATTTCTGCAAAGAACCCAATGGGATTTTGATAAAGATTGTGTTCAATCTATAGATCAGTTTTGAGAGTATTACCATTTTAACAATATTAAGTCTTCTGATCCATGAAAATAGGATCTCTATTTATTTAGGTCTTTAATTTCTTTCAACAGGTTTTGTAGTTTTCAGAGTGTATGTTTTACACTTCTTTCATTAAATTTATTCCTAAGTATTTTATTCTTTTTAATGCTGTCTTAAATGAAATTGTTTTCTTAATTTCATTTTCAGATTGTTGATTGCTACTGTTTAGAAATACAGTTAATTTTTGTATATTGATCTTATATCGTGCAGCCTCACTGAACTCATTTATTAGTTCTAATTGTTTTTTAGTGAATTCCTTATATACAAGATCATGTCATCTGCAAATGACTTTCCACTCTGAATGACTTTTATTTTCTTTCTTAATAGCCCTGGATAGAGCCTCCAGTACAATACTGAATAGAAGTAGCAAGATTGAACATCTTTGTCTTGTTCTGATCTTAGGAGGGAAAACATTCAGTCATCAACCATTCATTATGATGTCAGCTGTGGGTTTTTTGTAGATGCCCTCTATTAGATGTAGGAAGAACCCCTTTGTTCCCAGTTTGTTGAGTGTCTTTTATCATTGAAGCGGTGTTAGAATTTATTAAATGCTTTTTCTGCATCTATTAGGTTGATATGGGTTTTATCCTTTATTCTGTTGATAGGGTGTATTACATTGATTGATGTCCAGATGTTAAAACAACGTTGAACTCCTGGAATAAATTCTACTTCATTGTGTGTATTAAAAGGTGTATCATCTTTTTTATATGTTGCTGAATTTTTAGGTTTGCTAGTGTTTTGTTGAGGATCTTTGTATCTCTGTTCATAAGGGGTATTGATCTGTAGTTTTCTTGTGATGTCTTTGTCTGATTTTGGTGTAAGGCTAATACTGGCCTCATAGAATGAGTTGGGAAGTTCCTTCCTTTTCTTTTTTTTGGAAGTGTTTGTGAAGAAGTGATATTAATTCTTCTTCAGATGTTTGGTAGTATTAACCAGTGAAGCCACCTGTACCTGGACTTTTCTCTGTGAAAGTTTTGTAATTACTAGTTATATCTAGTATATAGTTATATCTATATAACTATATAGTTATATACTATACATATACATCTAGTTATACATCTAGTTATATCTAGATGTAATTACTAGTTATATCTCTTTGTTATAAATCTATTCGGATTTTGTTTCTTCTGGAGTCCATTTGGATAGTTTGTGTCTTTCTAGGAACTTGTGGTTTTCACCTAAGTTATATATCAATAATTTGTTGACATGTGACTGCCAATGGTATGTCCTTATAATCCTTTCTATTTCTTTAAGGTTGGAAGTGATGTCCTCTCTTTCTATCCTGACTTTAATACATTTCCTTTTTTTATTTTTTGGGTATGTCTAGCTAAATATTTGTCAATTTTTTTGATGTTTATTTTCAAAGAAACAAATTTTTGGTTTCATTGATTTTTTTCTATTATTTTTGGTTCTCTATTTTTCTTTCTGTTACAGTCTTTGTTATTTTCTTCTCTTTGCTTTCAGTTTAATTTGCTCTTCTTTTCTTCTTTTTTTCATTGTCTTAAGGTAGAAGGTTTGGTTATTGATTTGAGATCTTTCTTCTTTTTTAATACAAGCATTTATAAAATAAACTTCTCTTTAAGCACTGTTTTAGCTGCATCCCATAAGTTTTGGTATGTTGTGTTTCCATTTTCATTCATCTCAGAGTGTTTTCTAAGTTTCCTTGTGATTTCTTTCTTAACCCACTGGTTATTTAGGAATGTGTTGTCTAATTTGCACATATTTGTAAATTTCCCAAGTTTACTTTTGTTACTGATTTCTAATTTAATTTCATTGTAGTAAGATAATATACTTTGTGTCTTATTTCAATTCTTTTAAATTGAGGCTTGTGTTATAGCCTACGGGAGCAACAAACCAAGCCATAGACCAGTTAGAAGTTTAACAGAAATAACCTGGCAAAGAGACAGTGAAGAACCTCCCATGTCATCAGTATTTTTATGGCTTTTCTTATGTATCACTAAATGCTTTCTGAAAGGATCATACCTGTTTACATTGCTGCTAGCTACTCATAAGTCTTCTAGCTTCTCTATAACCTTTTTGTCTTGAGTGTTACACTTAATTTGTAGTTTATAATTCTGCTGAGTGTGTTTATTATTCATTGTGCTATAATACTTTAATCATAGAAACAGATAACTCTTGATTTATGTTCTTTCCTCTACTTTTCTCCCAAGTCACCTGGAACCTCTATGAGTCCAAGTATTGGGTCCTTCCCTAGTGCATGTGGTCAACAGACATCTAAAGATAGTCGTCAAGGTCAATGGCAACGCCGAAGAAGGCTGGATGGAGCACTAAACAGAGTCCCAATTGGATTTTATCAAAAAGTATGGAAAGTTTTGCAGAAGGTGAGCATAATACACTGTAGATGTCTCTTTATTTCACACACCCCCCATGAAATTATCAGCCTCCTTGTCTGAGATATGACATGACTATGATATCACTGCAATTATATAAAAGTCATGTGCTCTTATGGATAAAACCTAGAAGAAAACATTAAAATGAAACAGTTGATTTGTTATTTTGACATTACTGATAATTTAGTCTCTCTCCATAACTGTTACTGTTGCAGTGTTTATAAATGAGATTTCAAAAGTCATCACTTCTCTGCTTTTTGGCCATGGTTGGATATTGTGGGACATTGTGATACATTTACTGCTAATCAAATGAATGTGGTGATAAAGACTCACTTTCTTTGTAGCTATTGTAGAGTAGAAATGTTATTTGTAGCAATGTGCTGTTAATAACAAATGTTACTACAGTAAAACAACTGTGGCATCTGGGAAGCTTTATGAGACGCTCTTACCTATTTTTTTTCTTGGATGAAAACTACTAAATAAATGCAGCCATAGTGATGCTAATAGTCCAGAGACTCTACTGGTGTGACCAATTTTTGTTTTTCTGTCAAAGGCCTAGTTTGCCAAAGACATTCAAGGGGATATCACACCATTATGATTGTGACAGATTTAGAAGGCCAAGAAGACTATTGTACTCATTCATAGATCTCATTCATAGTCTCATAGGTGCCACTTTTTGCTTCATTGCCCTTGGTAATGACCTGAAGAACACTTCAACCAGGACTTCAAAACCTTTAGTTATGTTTCTCCCCTTAGCACACTGATATTCCAGGGACAGAATCAGGTGATCCTTTGGAAAGGTGAAATTTGATTCCTCGAACTATCAACTCTGGCGATCTTCCTTTCAAAGTGTACCTATCAGTTATTTTCCTTCCATTTAACTGCTATAGCACAGTGGTAACAGATATGTGCTGTATCTCTCCAGCTCTGCCTGGCTTATGGCAATTCAGTTTCACAGACTACATGTAGTAGGTGCTCTTCTACCCAGATACCATGGAAAGTGTCTGTTCTTGTCATCAAAGAGTTTAATCCATAGTTATCTTCTTACATAGCAGCTGTAATGCAAGGCCAAAAGTGTTATGATAAAAGTGCAAAACCAGAAGGCTGTGAGAATACAAGGGAAGGAACATTCAAGTCTGACTGGGAAAATTGGGTATTTTGTGGCAGAATCAAAGCATGAACTTGAAATCCTAATGTAAAGGGGAAAAACAAATGCCGTCTGTTTTTATTTTCATTCCATTCCTTTCAGAGTATGAATGTAACATAATCACTCTGCACATATGTTTCAAGGCTGGTAATTCTCAAAGATTGTTATTTGGCATATGGAACATGGGGTGGAAGTGTCTGGTAGGGTCGATAAACTTGTTGGATTGGAATATTTATCTGTGGTTTAATATATAATGTTTTGATTTATTTAAAATCTAAAATGGCAAGTCATTAATTCCCACTGCTTTTTAATAATTGAATTGATGATGGGGGGAAGATAAAATATCATTCGTTCATACAGTATTTCTTGAGCATCTGCCATGCACTAGGCAATGTCCTAGGTGCTCACAGGAATACAACAGAAAACAAAACAGACGACAATCTCTGTCCTTATGGAACTTACATTCTACTAAGGAGAGACAATAAATAAGAAACACAATAAATAAGTAAATTATACAGAATGTTGAAAGATGACATACTGTAGAGAAAGTAGAGCAGAGTGAGGGGATCAGGAGTGCTGATGGGGGATGCTTAACTAGAAAATGTAACTATGCATGTCTGGTAAATGCATATCTTGAGTTTTTTCTCTTCAGCCTAAAAGAATCTTTATGAAAGTCTATTTGTGATGGCTCTGGGACCTACCGTGGTATCCTCTCAGATAGTCTCTGAATCTTTAGGGCTAGACTATCTCAGCAGGTAGACCTTCCCGACCCTTCCACTCCCCTAAGTAGAGGATGAACCTTGAGTTCCCTATAGTCCAACCCTGTTTCTTGCCACACAGTAAGCGTAACCCCTTGGCAAAGACCCGTGGGCTGCAGGGCCTTTCCCTGGCCTGTGATTACTCAGCATCTACCCAGTGGAACACACTTAGAAATACTAAGTGTCTCCTTACAGTCTCCCAGTTGTCAGCATATCCTGGGTGACGTTTTTGCTGTTTTGCAGTGTCATGGACTTTCTGTGGAAGGTTTTGTTCTTCCTTCTTCAACCACTAGAGAGGTAAGATTCTGTGTCTTTCACATTTATTTGATTGATAGCTTGTCTGGCTAAAGTATTTCAGTGATCTCTTTTCAAAATAACAAATCTATGCTTTTATAAATCAACTGAACAAGAAATGCATTGGCAGAAAGGAGAGAATGTTCTTAAAAAATAGAATGGGAATATTAGAGAATAATTATGTATTACATTAATTATATAAAGGCAGTTTCTTTTAATGGTTGATTAAGTTAGGCTGATTTATGTGAGTGTTGCCAGAGTTAGAAATGGCAGATGAGATAGAAATCTAAGAATGAATGAATGAATGACCTCTCATGTCCCCATCCTGCTCATCCCTACCTTTCTCTACTAACATGTTTGTAGACTATAAACCAGTGATCATAAACCAATGGTCCTAAGCTCTAACTATATGTCACAGTAACCTGAGCTCCTATCTCCAATTCAGTGGATTAGACTCTCCAGGGATGGGGCATGAGCACCTGTACTTTAAAAAAAAAAATCCTTAGAATAATTCTGATATATCACCATGGTTGGAAAACATTGCCATGAACCACAGACATAGATTAGGAGGTGCTTTTATATTTTGCTTTTTGCCCAATCACACTGAAATTATAAAGAAATAGCTTTTATACAAAATCAACAAAGGAGTGAGAATTGGGAAGCTAAGAATAGTAAGACTGGATAGTAGAAAATTCTCAAAAACTCTGGAGTTCTTGTAGATCATGGCTGCAAGGGTGGGTACAGAAAGTTAATGCTGTGTTTCAGGGCTCCACTCCTTCCTAGAAGCCTCTTCCCTAGTAAAGAACACTGTGTCCTCTCTTAGTCTTCTCTCTGCCTTTAAGCAAGATTGAAATGTTAACAGAATTAATAATAATACATACCTGAATGTACCTTTAAGAGTCTCCAAAACACCTTTACACAGTCTTTAATTTGATCTTCAGCACAACTATGTGAGATAGCTAAGGAAGGGATTGTAGTTCCCAGTTCACAGATAAGCATACAAATTTAGAGAAGTGAATTGTCCAAGGTCATAGAACCAGTAACTGACAAAGACAGGACTTGAACCCAGGTCTTTAGACTTCAAATCTACATTGCCACCCTGAAGTATATACTTAATACAGTTTTACCAAAAATTAGTCCTCAATCCCCTTCACCCTAAAATAACTTCATATTTCTTCATGCCCTTTTTAATCTAACAGTATATAAATATTTTACATAATCCTCATCATCACAATTTTAGTTTCTACTTAGATTTTTCCTTTATCCACAGTCATCTTATTTATTCTTTTAATGATTCTATAGAAACTCATGAAGTTACTGTACCATGATATGCCATTATTTACACAACCATTCCCATGTTTAGATTACTCCTAGTTTTCCACTTGTGACTAATGCTGCTATAAAACACTTGCACATAGGGCTTTTCTCCTCTCTTGAATTATTTCCTTAGGATGAACTTCCAGAAGGAGGATTATGGTTAGAGGGCATTGATACTTTTATGACTCTTGTTATGCTTGCCAGATTGCCTTCAAAAACAAGATTGAACCTATTTACTCACTCAATTATATTAAAGGAGACTGAAGCAGTACTCTTGGCTACAGTATTTCTTCTGCCTTTCAGAATAGGTAATTGATGTCTCCTGCATGATGGGCTCTTAGGAAGTGATTTTCTTCTTCTCTGTCACAGATGACTCCAGGTGAGATTAAATTCTCTGTTCACGTGGAGTCTGTCCTGAATCGTGTACCTCAGCCGGAGTACCGCCAGCTTCTGGTTGAAGCCATCCTTGTCCTCACTATGATGTCAGACATTGAAATTCATAGTATTGGAAGCATCATTGCTGTGGAAAAAATAGTGCATATTGCCAATGACTTGTTTCTTCAAGAACAGGTAGGCAAACCTGTTGTTTTCTCAAAGAGGAATGTCTGATACTAACCTGACTGCATTCAGAGCCCTTCAAGAAGCCAAGGTCACTTTCTTGTGTCCTCTTCCTCATAGCTCTTTTCTAGGCCCCCTTCGTAGTGGCTCTGAGCTCTATCTGTAAAAGAAGTAAGCTGCGGGATGACCCCTGTCTTTTACCATGAGTTTTGTGGTTGTGTTACATGGTAAAGTTGCCTGGAACTCAGGAGACTTTTATGCTTTTCGTCATATTTCAGACTACTTTTATCACACTACTTTTTGTAGCGATAAGGACTTAATAAGAAACTATTGGGTAGTATATTCTTTCTGGACTATTAAGGAAAAGAGAAGATTTGATTTTGGTTTTGTTTTGGTTTTGCTTTTCTCTCTTACCTGTAGGAAAATATTAAAGTGAAACTTTTAATTCTACATTTCCTTATTTTCTTAATAAATCTTATTCCAGGAAATTAAGCACATTTTAAAAATGCAAACTATTGAAAGCTTTCCAAATATTTCTTAGATTAAGAGTAGGACCACATAAAGTGAAGGACATGCACTGCTGTTAATAGAACAGTCTCCAAAACATGTAATCAGTGTTTCATTCTATTAGGCCCTGGGGGGGAATGCAAAGGAAATTAAAAGTTTCTCTAGGACTTTTCAAGGATTTTCTAGGACAGTCCTAATTTTAAATATTCTGATTGCTCTTAGTTCGTTGTAGCAGAAAATGTGATCCCTTTTAGGCATAGACTCTAGATTGGAAAGCTTGAGGTCTATTTGAATTAAGTTGACTTGGAAAGAAATAACGATGAAATGCAAGATAAAATAATACATGCTGAAATCAGTGGTACTAGAAGGATTCAGACCAAAGTCCCTCTAGGGTGATTTGTAAGTATTAACATTTGACTCTTTAACAAACACAACTCTAATTACCTATTATATTTAACTTTCAAAAATTCAAAACAATTAATGCTTTAAAAATAATTTCATGTGATTTTAGGATCTAGTGAAAAATGCATATATAGAAACTCATAGTCACCATTTTGTGCATAACCCTGATCCCTTCCTGTCTAAACAGCCTAAGATCCAACTAGTTGGTGATGGGGAGGAGGCTCTGAGTTATTCTAATCAGGACTTTAATTAGTAGGATTAGTAATTTTTCCTTTCCCCTGTGTTCTCCCACCCTTCAAAACCAAACAGAAAACCCTCGGCGCAGATGATATCATGTTGGCCAAGGATCCTGCATCTGGCATCTGTACTCTTCTGTATGACAGTGCACCCAGTGGCAGGTTTGGCACCATGACCTACCTCTCCAAGGCAGCTGCCACCTACGTGCAGGAGTTCCTGCCTCACAGCATCTGTGCCATGCAGTGAGGCCTCTAGGCCCTGGCTGCTGGGAGCCTTTTGACAGCTGGCTCCTGCCTCATTGTGCATGGAACTGAAATGTGATGGCCTGATCACTCCCGACCGACCGTGCCCCTTTCCAACCCATCCCTCCCAAGAAGAGCGAACTTTTCTGATAAACTAACTGGTGTAGAAGACGTGAACCCTTGCCTGGAGGCATCTGCTCACCCAGGCTTTTCAGTGCCTTAATTCTTTCATGGTTCATAAAAGTTTGCATGTGTTTTTATTCTCTAGATCTGTTACAAACTTAGTTTTCTAACTCCTGTTTGGGGAGCAGGTGTTAATAATAACTTATTCCTAAAGTTTGATTTCTCTTATGTTTGGTTCATTGTGTGAACGAGTAGTGGGTGCTTTGGAACATTATTTCAAGTGAGTAAACCCTAAATTGTTGGACTTTATGCTGCTATAAATTGGAAATATCTATCCTAAGTGCCTTTTCTTGGGAAAACAGTACCAGATCATGGTTTTCTTCTTTACTCACATGCTGCCTCACACTGAATGATGAACTCCCTTCTGTGCAGAACTTACTGTCTCTGCTTTTGCCTTCTCTATATCGGCACACATAATTCTTACTCTCCCTTTGGTGAAATATCAAAAAAATGCAAGTGCAGTGTGCATATTTAAGGATTTCAGTATTAACACTTAAAATCACATTTTATGAAGATTGCTGGTACTCAAAGATGTATTTGTAGTAGAAAATGCAGAATAACCCAGAGAAATGGAGCCAGGAGCCCAATTCCAGAAAGGAGGGGGGCAGAGTCTTACACCTAGGAAACAGAGAAGGAATTAGAGATGGGTTAGTGCCCTGAAGAGAGCCTTGTACACTAATCCATGGCTCTGAAGAGTGGGCCAGCATACAACACAGAGAATAATTGAAGCCTCTGTCTTTGGCGAACAGGAATATAGCAGTCCAGTCTATAGCTGCTTTACTGAGCACTCTTTCTTTGTGCTCACCTGGTCTCTGTCTCACTCACCTATTCACTCTGTATAGCATCCACCCCCTCCAACTTTCTGCCCTCCTATCTACTTACTTTTAAACTCATTCATTTACATTTTTACTTCCTGATTCTAGTGTTCATATCTATGTATATCTTGATATCTGCAGGCATGTGTCTGTCTCTCGTAAACACCTGCATTTGTATGTGTGTCTAAGCACACGTGGGAATTTTTCTGAATGTTAAGTAGTTTTGACATGTCTGTATATCTATCTTTATCTACATTTGACAAACTGAGTTAAGTATGTAAATATGAGTGTTGTGTGTGGGAGAGGGGTGTGACTATGGCCTCAGGCTGATACGCAAAAGATAGTGGAGGATTCCTTGAGTCCTCTTTCCCAGTCTCATGTTTAGGTAGCCAATTGAAGAATGTTTCTCCTAACTTTCTGTCTTAGTTCCAGGCCACTATAACAAAATACCATAGACAGGGTAGCTTAAACAGCAAACATTTATTTCTCACAGTTCTGAAGGCTGAGAGATGCAAGATCAAAGTACCAGCAGATTCAGTGTCTGGTGACGGCCCTCTTTCTGGTTTGTAGATAGCTGCCTTCTTGCTGTATCCTTACATGGCACAGAGAGAGTGAGCTCTCGGCTCTTCCTCTTTTTCTCAGGGCACTAATCCTACCATGGGGACTCTACCTGATTATCTCCCAAAGGCTCCCACCTCCAAATACTTTCACATTGGGGATTAAGGCTTCAAGATATGAAATTTGGAGGGATGCAAACATTCAGTCCATAGCATTTTCCTTCTCCTGTCAAGACTCTACTAATTTCCCTGTTTGCACTCAGATAACTTCCTACTTCAATCCCCTATTTTCCTTCAGATTTTTTCAGGTTTTTCTCCAAGAATGGGGATGGGGGACTCTCTAAATAATTGTAACAGAACCAGTGGCAATATTATGAGTACACATGAATAAATGAGCATAGTAGGGTGATAGAAAACAGATAGTGGAAACAAAGAAAGGATGGCCAAACTTTTCAGTACCTCTCTTATAGGAAATGGAAACACACAGTAAGTAGCTTTCTGATTACGTGATTTTCTGGTCACATATAAAGAAAATTTACACCCTGTTCTGAAACTGTCTTTTCACTGGCTGCAAGTGTACCCCAGCCACAGAGAGTACATCTGGAGTGGCACAGTTGAAAGCCACCACTCCCTCCCACACAAATTTACCTGAACTGACCCTGATGGCTACATTTCTCTGGGTTTATGAAGTTATCTATCACTATGCTTCCCACACACAGCTACTTCACTTTTAAAGCAACTGTTTAGAAAACTTGATTCATATTTTGTTCATTTTAAGCATGTGGTACTAAAAAACACATTGGACACTTTTTAAGCACTTATGTTTTGAAAATAGAATAAAAAATTAGAATTTCCAATTAAATCATGTCTGGTGCCAATGTGCAAAACTTTATATGTGTTTCTGTGATTGGAGTTTATTTCATGGCTCTATTTTACATACTCTAATTATGCGGTACAGTCAAAGCTCATAATTGGGTCAAAGTAGAATAATATTAATACATAAAACATATATTATACATTATATAATATGGTATATAATATATGTAAAGAAATGCTGTTTTATCATTCAAGTGCATGACTGCTCAAACTAGGCTCACTGAATTCCAACTAGCTTATTGACATCTGTCGGGAGCCTGTTCTAATGAATGAATAAGACTGATTTTTGGTCAGCATTATAATTGTTTGCAGGTGGTGCTCCTGCACAACTGGAGGGTACCTAAAAACAGTTCGTTCTCCTAAGTGTTATAACTATTCGGCAGAATCTTGTTCTACTACTCATTAGCCTTTTGTGTAACAAGAGAGGGTTTATCCAGCAAGGATGAACAGTCTCTGCAGTCCCATCCTGGTTAATTAGGTTATACTACATTCTGAGAATTTTATGCAGCTGATGGGTCCAAAGTTATTCTTACTCTGACCCTTTTCTACTTACCAAATACCTAGTACCTGTACTAATGCAATGGAGATAAATATAGTGTCTTCCACATTTAGTCTTCATTTCCTATTAAACTTGAGTGACCTTAGGTCTTGGTTTGCCCAGGACAGTCCCCGTTTATGCCTGTTGTCCTGGCATAATTATTAATAGCACTCTCTGTCACTCAAAAGTGTCCCAGTTTGGATGGTATGGTCACCCTCTATTTAGCAGAAGTCTGATTTCTTTTAAGGCTAGGCCTAAAAGCAAAGGACCTGTTCTCAAACCAGTAATAGTACTCTTGCAGTAGCGGTATGCGGGTGAGGATAACAATGGGGTGGAGACTTTCCCCCAAATTAAGGAATATTTGGCATAATAGCTCTTAAATGATAATCAATATTTGAGTGCTTACCAAATGCCAGACATTGTTATACAGGCACTTGGTATGACCATCTTATTCTGTTTTCACAGTCACCATGTGAGTTAATTACTGTTGTCATCCCCATCTTCCATATGAGGGAACTGAGGCACTAAGCATTATAAGCAAATTGTTGAAAATCAGACAGCCAGGAAGTGGTAGAGCTTGGATCTGAGCTCAAGCAGTTTGACTCTATAGAGTTCACATTCTCAACAATGACACTCTCCAAGGAAAAGACATTAGGAAGTGGTGTGAAAACAAGGGTCAGTTGGTTCACTACAGTTGAGATATCAGTGGGCATATTGTAAAATGCACAACGAAGGTGGCCAGAGGGGCGGTGACTTCTTAATGTGTTTGCTTTCCCTTCTGCCTGCTTCTGCCAGCAAGTGAAGTCAGAGGAGATCATCAAAAGAAGTGGCATCCTGACCTTGCTGGTTCAAAAACTACCTTTAGCAAAAATGGCTAAGGAAAGTGAGGCCAAGAACTTGTCCAGGGTCACCACACTAGGAAACTTTGGAGCCAAGATTCAACCTATTTCCTCTGACTTCAAGTCCTCTGACTGCAAATCTGGTGCTTTGAGAAAGGTTTTCTTCCCAAGTTAAGGATCGTATGGGTATTAAGCTTGTGGAAAGTTGAGGTTGGGACCTGTGGCATGGTTTGTGCTCTATCTTAATCATGAATAAGGGTGCAGCCTCCCTGTGGGATTTGCTGTTGCAGATCCTTGTGCATAGTTGAATCATCTTGCCACATTGTATGCCAAATGAGGATACTGTTTCCAGTTTAAAAGCAATGCTCCCCATGTTGAAGTGTTCAGCTACCTGTTGCTAGAACTGAAAGAACACATGGAAAAATCAATTTTCACATCAGAGTCCAGACTTTAGAGTCTCAGTTGGCCAGTCTGTATCCTGCCCTCCTTCTCCACTGTCTATCCATGAAAAGCCCTAGACAAGTCCTGTTTCCTCCTTATATTGCCAACTTGTCATGATCTCACCTTTTAGTCAACTCCTACAGCCCCATAGACTCCTTCCCCTCTGTAAACATGTGCATTTCTCTCTTATTCTAAAAAAATATTCCTGGGCTCTGACATCCCCCTAGGTTGATATACTATAATAATTCCCTCCTTTCACAATCAAATTTCTTCAAAAAGGAAGTTACACTTGACAGCATTGGCTTCACTCATTAACCCCTTGCAATCTGGCTTCCTCCCTTGCCTCGTGTGTTTTTCATAGAGCACCAGTGAACCCCTAATGGCAAAAGGGGTTTCTGACCCTTTTGCAATACATGACATTGTTACTACCTCTCCCTTCTTGTAACCCTCTCATCCCTTGATTTCTGTGAAACTGTACCAGTTCTCACCCAGCTATTCCTTTTTTGTCTCCTTTTTGGCATCTTTCTCTCCCAACTCCCACAAACAGCATTCTCCCAAATCACTCGCTTCTTCCTAGCTCAAAGATTCTCACCATGGCGTGGGGCAGGTTTTAAAAAGTGACATGATCTGATTTACATTTTTTAAGAAGCTCACTCTGCGGCTACAAAAAGAATGGATTGTAAGTCAACAAGAGTGGAAGTAGAAGCCAGCTAGGTATTGCAGGAAGTCCAAGTGAGAGATGACAGTGCCAGGACTGGGGTGGCGGCAGTGCAGAGGAGAGAAGTGGAGGTAGTTAAGACACGTCTTGGAGGTGAAACCAATGGAAATTGATGGATTAGATTTGGGAGTGAAAGAAAAGGAGGGAATACAAATAACTCCCAGGTTTCTGGCTTAGGCAACTGGATAGACGTTGGTATCTCTACTGAGCTATGAAAGATGGGGAAGGGGTGGCAAAGACTTGGATAGGAAAATCAGGAGTTTGGTTTGAAAATGTTAAGTTAGATATGATTAGACATCGCAGTGGAGACAGCCATGTTCCCTTGACTATCTCAACCACTGTTATGACTTTAGCTATCTCTTATCTATGTGGGGAAATAAACTGGGTTAAGCACCTGCCCTACCCTCTGATTTCTTCCTTCTCATTTCCCTCTTCCTTATATTGATACTGCTGGCCTTCTCTTCACACAGACTTTAAGAATTTTCAATAACTTCTCCATCTGCTCTCACCAATATTCAAGTACTAGTAGTAAGGAAGTCCTGTTGAACCTACCCTGTGCATTGTTTCTCCCTCTCTGTTTCCATTGTCCCTACCCTAGTTTAAATCATCATCGCTTTGGAATTCCCTGGCGGTCCAGTGGTTAGGACTCCATGCTTCCACTGCAGGGGGCACGAGTCCTAACCCTGGTCGGGATCCCGCATGCCACGCGGCACAGCCAAAAGAACAAAAAAACAAAACAAAACCATAAATGATCATTATTTCTTATCTGATCCATTGCAGCACTCTCACTGCTTGTAGTCTTTCAATAGCTAATCTTCCCTACACACTACTGCTGTAGAAATCTTTTATTTTAAGATTTCTGTTTATATGTCTCCCCATTTCCCACAGGGTGAAGTCTATTCTCTTTAGTCTAGTATTCAAAACACTTCATTGAGCCAGCCCCTTCAACTAAACTAGCCTAGAAATGTTCTCCTTTTTGTTTTTGCTTATGCTGTTGATTCTAGTCAGCATGCCCTCCCCTGGCTCCCTTCTTCACCAGGTAAAATCCCATCTATCCACTAGGACCCTCTCAGATGTCACTGAATAAGAACCCTAGTTGCCATTTACTAAGTACCAGTTATTAAGTACTTAATGCTTAGTTATTAAACAAGCATCCTACATTCGTTATCTGACTCTGCTTCTTGTGTATCCGTCTCATCTACAAGAATGCAAATTCCCTGAGAGCAGAGATCAGACTGTAATTCATCTTGAGGATTGAATCCTCAGCTGTACTGTACACTTAGTTGATGTCAGATAAAGTTTGATGAATGATTGAATGATGGCAGAACTTTGAGCTAATTGCTATGGGAAGATACAAAAGGAGCATGAGAGCTTACATTCTAGCTAAAGAAACACATCGCAGGAGAAAAAAAAATCCAGAATACTAAGTATTGAGGGGATACTAAATGGAGGGTTGAACAAGGTTAGATTTAACACAAAGTCATCCTGGAGGAATCAAGTTTATATAGTAAAGGGAATGTTCAAAAACTTCAGTGTCAGGCAGACCTGGTTTTGAATTCCTGCTTTTCTGTTTGTGTGTGTGACTTTGAACAGTTATTTTCTCTAAACTGCATCTGTAAAATGGGTGTATTACAACCTCCTTTATAGGACTGTTGCAAGGATGAAATGAGATAGTATATCCAAGTGCATATCACAATACTCCATAAATGTTTAAAGAGTAGGGGAAAAAAGCAAACTAGAATATTGGATTGTCTGAGAGGTTAATTCATGTTGATGTGAGAGTTGGGGCCTTGGGCATTGGCTAGTTTGTGTCAGATCATAGGGGCCCCCAGGAACCTGGAAATACTGATGGTAATTCTAAAACTGCTCCAGGATACTCTTTAATGTGAACCCTCACACTAAACCTAAAATATTTCCCTAACCCTTGTATAGCTGCAGAGAAAAAAAGGAGGGAAGGAAGAAGAGCTGCAGTTTCCAAACGTCACTGAAAGTATCTGCTTACACACTTAACTCCAAGTGAATTTTCAAGGAGTGATTTGACATCATTGCTTGACTGGAATCTACGAAGCAATTTACAAAGTACCAGCCAGCGTCTTGGGAAAGTGGTACCAGCTTTGCCAGAGTAAATTATTGAGATTGTTAACTCTTATATGGACATGGATAGTTAATGATGAAAAGCAGTGAACTAAGTTGCAGCACAGAATTGACTGTGTAAACTTTTCAAACAGTTTGTACCATTAATTAATCCCCCACCAAAAAGAGCCCGTCTGATGTGTTGGGTGGTGCTGGGCTCTTAGTGGCCACACTGTGTCTGTCTTTAGATATTTATACGGGTGTGTTTGCAGATTGAGACAATTCATAAAGCGTTGACGGTGATCCTTTTTTTTTTTTTTTTTTTTTTAGCGCTAAAACTCAAATTCGCGGCTATTTTAGTAATTAGCCCTGACTCTTCCGCTACTTAAATCCCTCGAAACTACATCTCCCAGCATGCTCTGAAGCTGGTGTGACTTCATCTCAAATGGCCCCGTAGGGCAACAATGGTTAGTTTTGACTGTGCTTATTTGTGCTATAAAATATCGATCCTAATTGGCAGCTATTTGGGCTTTTATATCTGCCGACCTCCGTTTTTGAACTGTAGTCACTAAATGTAGGGGTTCTGGCCTGACAAGGCCCATGCATTTCTTCAATTGGATGGGGAGCAGGGACAGTGTCACCGGCGATCTCGAAACTAGGAGGGAATGTTGACCAGGGAGCACCGCTGCGGCCGATCAGAGGAGCAGGAACCGGAGCCCGGGCTGAGTCCGAAAAAAGCCGGATCCGGACGGTGGCTCCGGAACGGCTGTAAGTGGAAGATGGAGGAGCCGGAGGAACCGGCGGACGGTGGGCAGTCGCTGCCCCCGGTTTACATTTACAGTCCCGAGTATGTTAGCATGTGCGACTCCCTGGCCAAAGTCCCCAAACGGGTAAGAAAGGTTGGGATGAAAGACCGTGGGTTTTGGGGGTGTGGGTGGGGGGCCGGTGGACGGGAGGGCATTAGGAAGCGAAGAGGATACAGGGCTGGGGGAAATCTTCAGCAGAAATTTGGGCGGCTGTACCAGGTGATGGAGGAAGTGTTCCCTTAGAGAGTTTCCTGAGAGCGCAGCGGGGCGTCCAACGGACAGGTGGGGGTGGGGTGGAGGTGCGGGGGAGGGGAAGGGATGGCATGGAGGGGATGGTGTCTCTACTGCCAGGGATCCCCGAAGTGGAGAAGAAGCTGCAGGAGAAAAGTGTTCCAACACCTCCGTAAGGCCCGATAGCTTTCTCCTTAGCGATTTAGATACTTTGTATTGTCTAAAGTGCTTTGTAATTGTTAAGTAAAAAGGGAGGGGAGTTAAAAGTTAGTTCCTTTGTTCAGGATGATGAAGTCGATGGAATTTCTCTGAATTAAACATTTGAGACTATTTTCTGCCTTTTTTTTCTTCCATTTTTGCTGATGTTTTTAGGCCAGTATGGTACATTCCTTGATTGAAGCATATGCACTGCATAAGCAAATGAGGTAAGTTGTGCTTGAACAGAGCCCTGAACCCAGGTGTTCATAGCCTTAACTTCCTGCTTCACAGTGGGAGTAATTAGGGAGAGAATGGTCCTTTTTTAAAAGTTTTTTGTGATTCACAGTGTTGGTAATCTGCCTGTAACCTAGTAAAAGCTCTTGAAGAATTAAGAAAACTCGAAAAAAGTACTTGAAGCAGTTAAGAAATAGGACTTTATTGCTGGGAGGGAAGTATCCTAGGGATAGGTGTTTTGTGGAGGTTTTGGGGTGAGTACATTTGGGTACTAAAACCTATCTGATAGAAAAAAAGATGTTCAGCTGGGAGGTGTTCTGGTTTTGGGGTTGTTTGTTTTTTGTCTTTCCTAAGCCAGCTCTTGAGAGTATGGGTTCAACTTAAGACTTTTAGATACACCATTACCACCACCAAACTTTAATGATGAGCCTGGAGACAGTCAAGACCAAAGGAAACTCCTGGAGCCAAGGCCATAACTCAGCACAGAGCTAAGTGCTTCTTTAAAAAAAAACAAAAAAATGAACTTGCTGTTTGTTGTTATAAGAGTAAATATTATAACCCTGACACTTGTAGGATTATTTGTGACATTTTCTGGCCAATTGGGTGAACATCTGTCTATGCTGGCTAGTGTGATATGCTTCATTTATCTCCCAGAAGGTAGTGTAAATTTTATCCTTATTATTAACAAAATCATTTATTGAGTATCTTCTTTATGAATGTTTTTCAACCGTTTTTTAACCCATAGGTTTGGTAAACAGAAAAACTACATGCTTTCCATTAAAGTTATTTAACAGTTCAAAAAATTACTTTGACAAACAAGAAATCAAAGCAAAGCAAAACTGTCTAATTTCCTTGCTGTTAAGTAGGGAGGCTCTCAGTAAGGATTTGTTAAGGAAGAGGAAGGGTATTAAAAGAGGGAGCAATTAGGGCCGGGAAACATGGTACAAGAAACTGTAAAATTTTTATTTTAATGGGCAGAGTTATCACTTCTGAGGGTGTAGACATGTTTTCTTGAAGAAGAAGCAAGACTCCTTGGATCTTAGCTATATATATTTACTTTTTGAGGCTGAGCTTGCTTGGTGATGGTAGTAGCCTGTATAACCATATTAATTCAGGAGAAACTCGTGGGCATGTTCCCCTTCAGCAAACAAAAAAAACACTGATGCCTCCCTGTGGCCTGGGTCATGCTTTTTAAACTTGAATGTGCATATGAGTCACCTTGTTAAAATACAGATTCTTTTTTTTTTAATTGTATAGTTGATTTACAATGTTGTTTAGTTTTTGGTGTACAGCAAAGTGATATATATATATATATATATCTTTTTCATATTCTTTTCCATTATGGTTTATCACAGGATATTGAATATAGTTCCCTGTGCTATACAATAGGACCTTGTTGTCTTTCCATTTTCTATATAATAGTTTGCATCTGCTAAGCCCAAACTCCCAATCCAAAATATATGGAATGTTTCACAAATTTGAGTGTCATCCTTGCATAGGGGCCTTGCTATCTCTGTATCATTCCAATTTTAGTATATGTGCTGCTGAAGTGAGCACTGAAGTACAAATTCTGATTCAGTAGGTCTGAGGGGAGGCTGAAATTCTGCCTTTCTAACAAGCTCCCAGGTGATGCTGCTGCTGGTCCATAGACCACCCTTTGAGTGGTGAGGGCTAGAGAGCAGTAGTGGCAGTGGCAGAGTCAGGAAGAGGATATGGGGACTAGGCAGCTAGAAGTTAGAGGTGGTTAAGTCCTGTTGTTAGGTTAGCACCCTGTATTCTCTCCGTCACTCCTATTTTCACTTCTTGTGAACAGTGGGTTGAGAGCTTCTGAGCAAAGCCCAGTTCCAGCCTGTTTGCTCCTTCTCTCCTTCCTCTCAGAGGCAGATGTGAGGGACCAATTATAGAAACTTTCACATTTTTTGGTTGCCTATTTTTTTAATCCTTTAATATTAATAATAATGACAGTTATCCACAAGGCATTTTCATGTATGTTATCATTTAATCTTCACCTAAGTCCCATAAGATATCCCCACTTTACAGATGAGGAAACTGAACTACAGAACAGTCAGCTTATCTGAGGTTATAGAGCTGGTAATTAGGACGGGAAGCCAGCTCTCTGACTCCAAATTCAAAATTCATGACAATACAGCTGCCTATTAAAGTAAAAATGTAGCTGAAAGGATTGTATTTGCCCAATTAGGAAAACTGATTCAAATGAAAATATCTCTTCCTACTGGTTTGTCATGATAGTTGTAACTCACAGAGCAAAATTTGTCTAATACCTGATTATTTAACTTAAATATAATAACTCTTTTTTTTTAACCTGCCTATAAACTCAAGGGAGATATCTATCCTCTCACCCTTTTTTAATGGAGTCAACATGTAGATGTGAGGAAATGAAGACTGTATTGCAGTGGAGGAACAGAACGTGTTTATTGCTTCAGCCTCCTGGAACCAGAAGCTGGAAGTTGTATTTTCGCTCCAACTGCTGGCTCCTGCTTCCAGGTTCTGGCATACTCTGGATCTGACTCACTCACCTTTCTTTGTTCCCTGTTATTATTAGGATAGTTAAGCCCAAAGTGGCCTCCATGGAGGAGATGGCCACTTTCCACACCGATGCCTATCTGCAGCATCTCCAGAAGGTCAGCCAAGAAGGAGATGATGATCATCCAGACTCCATAGAATATGGACTAGGTAAAGTCATTACTAGGCAATGATGGGAGATAGATGACCTCCATCTATAGATCATAACTACTTAATCTTTTATAACTTGCATGATGGTCTTTAATACTTTTAAGTTAACAACTAATGTGTTAACCACAATATTAATCTTCCTTTAACCACACTCCCATATGAGTTGAGCAAAATTAATGCTGGATCAAATGGAGGAAAACCTTTCAGTTGCTTGGCGCCCTAATAGCAGTGCCCAGATTGGGTCTGGCTGTATGTACACTGATTTAACTGGCCTGTGACCTTATATTTTAACTTCAGTGTATATTTATATTCTTGCTAAGTTTGATACCTTATCTCTCATTAAACAGCTGTATTTTTAAAAGCCATAAGTGGCCAATAGGATAGTCTAGAGAAACAGCATGATTTAATAGAAGAACACTGGACTGGAGGTATGTGTGTAGGGCGGGGGTGCGGGCTTAAGACACCAGGGGGTCCCAGACATGGCTCTGTGTCATCACAGATATGACATATCACCTCTCAGTCCTCAGTTTCTCCATCTGTAGGATGTGACTAATTAATCTTCAAGGTTTAGTCTTTCTAGCTGTAATACTGAAGAATTCCTTCCCCGACATTGAAGGTGTTTAGCTCTCATTTTGGAGCTGATGTTAGCACAGTAGCTTTCTGGTAGGGTATGTTGTTGTCATACCTCAATCTACTCCTCCTAATAGGGTACTGGACCCAATTCCAATGTGTGGAGGGAGGAATTTCCCCCCACACCACCAAACAATGCTCAGGACACCAGCTTGGTGTCCTACAATTCAACTCAGTTCTGACACTCTCTACCCGGAGAGAGCATCAGATTCCACAGGTGAAGTGCTCAGTCCCACAAGACTTCTCTCCACATCAGACATCAGTTGCAAACCCAAGCTGTTACCTGTGCTCTGGCTGACAGGCTGCAAATTGGAGGTTCTAGCAACCTCACCAACTCAGAATGCCAAGCACAAGTCCAAGTTGTTACCTGTACTTCTGACCAACACTCTATAAATCAGAAATTCCCATGACCCCCTCCTTGAATTTAATTAATTTGCTAGAGCGGCTCACAGAACCCAGGAAACCCATATATTCACTAGATTACCAGTTAATCATTAAAGGATATAACTCAGGAACAGCCAGATGGAAGAGGTGCATAAAGGCAACGTATGGGGAAAGGGCATGGAGTTTCCATGCCCTCTCCAGGTGTGCCACTCTCCCCAAATCTCTACGTGTTCACCAACCCAGAAGCTCTCCAAACCCTCTCCTTTGGGGTTTTTATGGAGGCTTCATTACATAGGCATGAATGATTAAGTCATTGGCCAATTGGTGATTAAACTTGTTGACCTAAACAAGTAGGCTGCCAGATATTTCTCCATCAAAGATGGGTTTGTTTGGGATCAGCAGAGAATTGCAATTTGGGGTCTGCAACCGTGGCAAGCCATGGCAAGGGAAGGAGAACACTTTTACAGAGAGGGAAAGGAACTTGGGAGAGCTATGGTTTTAAAAAAAAAGAGTCTATGGCTTTTTCATTGAGTCCTTGCCAGGAAAGAAGAGAAGTCTTTCTTCTTGTTAAACTTGGTTATTGTTTCAGCGTGTGAGAGCTCCCCCTTCTGGTCTCCTGACTATTTAATTGAAGTTTGTGTTTATTCATTTTTTACAAACTCAATCACCAGTTCCTCTGGCCTCACACAGGAGGTCAGGGGGGTGGAACTGATAGTTCCAACCCTCATAATTCTACTGGCAACCAACCCCCATCCTTGGTCCACAAGTTACCTCATTAATACAACCAATACACATCTATAACTCGTCATTTAGGAATTCCAAGAATTTTAGGAACTCTGTGCCACAAACTGGGAAGAAATACAGTTGATCCTTAAACAGCGCATGGGTTAGGGGCACCCACCCTCCGTGGAGTCGAAAACCTGAGTATAACTTATAGTTAGCCCTCCACATCTGCAGTTGCGCATCCGCGGATTCAACCTACTGCTAATGGTGTAGTACTGTAGTATTTACTGCTGAAAAAAAAATCCACCTGTAAGTAGGCCTGCGCTGTTCAAACCCATGTTGTTCAAGGGTTAACTGTATATTCTTTATTATAAATCATAATATCACACCCCTCTTTATCCAGCTTATCTTTTAACAAGCTCTTCTGATGTTTGCCTGAAGGTTATGACTGCCCAGCCACTGAAGGAATATTTGACTATGCAGCAGCTGTAGGAGGGGCTACAATCACAGCTGCCCAGTGCCTGATTGATGGAATGTGCAAAGTAGCGATCAACTGGTCTGGAGGGTGGCATCATGCAAAGAAGTAAGAAAATGACCTTTCTGCTTTCTATCTCTTTCCTTGAGTCAGTTTCTTATTTATGTAAACTCTTATGTTTATTGTATTGGCAGTTATTGAGAGTGGGGGGTGTGTGTGTATGACACTTCTTTACTACGCCTTCTGAAGAGATACAAGTAAAATAAAAGATGACATAATATAGTGGAAAGTGTACTATTGAAAGTCAGGACACCTGGGCTTTATGCCTACTTTTTCTACAAACTTGGCTGACTGACTTGGACAGATTAACCTCTCTCGGTCTCAGTCTCTTCATCAGGAAAATGGGCAGAGCAAAGGATATTAATCTAGATATCTAGACAATCTCTAAATTCCTTTTAAGCTTTCTGGAAATTCCCCTGTCTTCAAGGAACTTATACTCTAGAAACATTATTAAAACTAGAATAATTAGGGAGCAACATCAATTTTGGTACCAATTGAATATATGTATGAGATGAAGAGATTTAGCAATAAGGAGCAGTTAATCATGGAAGTCTTGGAAGAGGTGAATTTTGGAGCTAGTTCTTGAAAGGAGTGGCAAACAGATTTTTGAATAGATGGAGAATTGATGAGAACAGATTTAAAACAAAAGGCTGAAGAATCAAAAAGGAGGCTTAGGGCTTCCCTGGTGGCGCAGTGGTTAAGAGTCCACCTGCCAATGCAGGGGACACGGGTTCAAGCCCTGGTCTGGGAAGATCCCACATGCCGCAGAGCAACTAAGCCCATGCGCCACAACTACTGAGCCCATGTGCCACAACTACTGATGCCTGCGTGCCTAGAGCCCATGCTCCGCAACAAGAGAAACTACTGCAATGAGAAGCCCGTGCAACGCAATGAAGAGTAGCCCCCACTCGCCACAACTAGAGAAAGCCTGCGCACAGCAACAAAGACCCAATGCAGCCAAAAATAAATAAATAAATTTTTTTAAAACAGAGGCTTATGCTGCCATCTCTAAGCAGCAAAGTGGCAACTGAGAGGTGTTACCCTAAGGAGAAAGGGCTTGTGCAACAGCTATTGGGTGCTACTTGGAGTTACAGGAAAAGTCCTTTTTGAGTTTGATGTTAACATTTCAAACAGCTATACTCTGTGTCTGACAGGGACTGCTGAGCCTTATTCAGCATTTGGTATCTTGCTTAAGATGGCTGTAGTACATGTTGGAGGAGAAGGATTTTATTTATTGATTTATTTATTTTTATTGAAGTATAGTTAATTTGCAAAGTTGTGTTAGTTTCAGCTGTACAGCAAAGTGGTTCAGTTATACTTTTCAGATTCTTTTCCATTATAGGTTATTACAAGATGCTGAGTATAGTTCCCTGTGCTATATAGTAGGTCCTTGTTGTTTACCTATTCTATATATAGTAGTGTGTATCTGTTAACCCCAAACTCCTAATTTATCCCCCCTTCCAGAGGAGAGGGAATTTAAAAACTGAATTTATCAATGTGCTATTTGAGTGAAATAAAGCAGCAGTGGTAGGAACTGCCAATGCATCATTCACACACCAGTTGTTCATACTATCTGCCATGACCTTGATAC